ACTCCACTGGTCTTACACAAGTCATGTAGGCAAGAAAGAGATTATTTTTGTTTTTCTTTCCTGACCAAATAAAATTTGTAAGTAAACTTGAAATTAGAAATACGAGTTTCGCGAAATAGCTCGTGTAGACTCTTGTGTATAGCCGCGCGTATTTATTAAAATTAGTTTTTAGAAGAAAATCTTATCTTCAACAGCTGCAAATGAGACAATCTGTGATTCGTAAACGTCTGCGTTCTTTTGAATTTCATGTTGATTTATTTGGTTACGTTTTTCGAAAGTGGCTTTTGATGTTTTACATCGCAAACCCCGAGGTGTCATCACAAAGACACACATAGTCAACACAGTCTACCTTGGTCAACAAGCATGGTTTTTAGAATCACACAAACAAAACCCAAGTTAGTCAGACAAGATAAATTTGAAAGCGACCGACTTGTCTCTCGCTGTCACACCTTAACAATTAAAGTGAAGAACCTGTTTCTTCTGGAACTATACCTTCACATATGTGTGAAAATAATGTTACAAATTTTGCGCGAAACTTTGCTAAACGTCCGTTTATTTGCAGTCTGGATATGTTAAAAACATATGCAGCTTTAAATTACTTCAATATCTTGCTAATTTAATAATTCAAAATATACCTGCGTCCTTGAGTTTTTTAAGTCTATGGATTATATTTAGTATTCATTGATTAGGTGTCATCACCATCCTTCTTGTTGTAAAAAGTTTGCATATGAACTCGGCCCAAAATGTCTTTTTATGTGAAAACTTAATTTTGTCTTGACTGGGATAAAACTTGATGAACCCTAAAATATCGCCTTTGAAATTTTCGTCAGGAAGCCGATTTAAAGTCTCTTACACTGCATATATATTGACAGTGACTGCGCTGAAATCTCAGCTGGCTAACGGGGATGAAATTTACCACGTAAACAGAACGTAAAATTCGTTCCTCCAACAGGACTCAGGTAAATATTTTCCAGCTTTAGACAGTTATGAGTTTTTCTTTTTTTTTGTCGCAGTCTACACTGACATATTGCATTAGCTGTTGGGGTGAAAAATGGGCGACGAGGTTGTGAAATTTACATTTCTTGGTCGACAGGACAAGTTTAGACATTTTAACATAAATCAATTATAAAATACTGCGAGTCTCGACTATCTAAACTCGGAGTCTGAAAGAACACTTCTATTAAGTAGAATGAAATAGCATCTCTTTGAACTTGCAATAGGTGTTCCCAGTGAGTGGTGAGAAATTATATTCGGTTAGCTATCGGGGCATAGCTAGAAAGTTTCATTTTTGTCACAAAAATTTTGAAAGACTCCTTTAATAAATTTCAAGCGGGCGAGAAAAAACATTTCAGGCCCAGGTTTACGGGATTGTAGGCTGGCTACCCCTCTAGCAGTGTCCAATGATATAATTACAAACTGCAGCAAATAATTACAGTTTCAGCTTTTCCATCAAGCGTACTTCTGATCACACTTTTCCGCTGGCCTCAAAGAGAAGGCTTTTATTCGGATCGCTCAAAGAGTGATGTAGCACAGATTTAACCATTTTATGATTGAAAGAACATAAGCGAGTGAGTCTTAAAGATTTATATTCAAAAGTCAAACATAACTGATCCTCGGTGTGTTTGCAATTTTGTTCTTTATCATTCAACACTACATCGAATTCTATCTCGACCTTGTGATCAAATTATAATGTTGCAATTGCAACCCCTTTAATGATTTTTTCCCTTCTGTTTTCTTTTTCTCGAAAAATACAACAAAAATAATCTTCTTTATTTTTATTCATTGCCTTAACGGCTCGCTAAATGATAGATTTAAAGTACTGGTTGCCCAGAGTAGTCACGATTTAATGAGGGCTATTGGAGTCCAGATGCCAACTAATGTACGTATAACCACGACCCTAAGTCTGACAAATGAATTTTTTTGCAAGCTTCGTCAACAATTTTTAAAACCTAAAACAACTTTAAGAGTGAATATAATCCTCGTAGGTCGTAGGTTCTTAGCAAGCCAAAATTGAATGCGATTTGATAGATAAAGAAAAATCCACTCTATGAATAGCATTGGAAAATCAAGAATATTTTGCATGTAACGTCAAGGTAGGTTCGAACGAAAAAGCTTTTGAAGTACGATGATAGGCGAACTTTCATGTGGGTTGTGATCCAATTAACTAACAAAATTTATCAGATCAGAAACATAAATATCTACAAAAGGAAAAGTGAACGCATAAGTTATGAAACAGTAAGTTCTAAGAGAACTCTTAGGCGAGGAAAATGGTCAGAAAACAGTATATGGTGGATCTCCCTTCTATATAAAGCAAGACTACTGGATAGAGCCCACCGCATCGTCACTCTCAGATGTGCCTTTAAAATTTTAAAGTTTAGGAACCCGATTTCTTGAGCAGATTGAAGCCTTGAATAGGGTGAAGTATCACCCGATATTGTGACCAAATTGTCCTGGAAAAACAGTACTTTGTTAAAGTTTCTCGACGGGTTGGTTTACATCATGACACGCATGCAATCTTTGAATTACACAAATTAACTTATCATACGATTTATCTTACATGATCTTTGTCATCAATTGGCCTCGACTTAACATGCTTCATTATGATTATGGTATCCGCTAGCTCTTTTTGACCACTACAATTTTTCGATCCCATTTACTAATCAATACTGTGAATTTCTATCGATTACCTTCCAATATCTTAAATTATGCAAGTTTGTCTTCTCCTTCATAGGTATATTTGGTACATTTAGTCTTTGATCTTCAATTTCATCAAGATTTTCCTTATCCTTCACGCGCACTTGTTCAGTATATGTTTGTTAAGTAGATGTTTGTTTCCAAGAATCATAATTTTAAGTAAAATAAAGATTGCCGATTTAAATGACCAAAAGTTTTCTGATCAGTATGGCCAAACGCAATAAATACAGATTAACAAGACTTTTAGGAAACAAATGACATATTACCGAGACTTAGCTTTGTATTATAAAGTTTTTCATTCTCCAGTACTCCTTCAGCTTTTTGTCTCATTTCCCCCTACAGTTTCCTCATTGCACAATAATAGAGACAATTTCAGTTAAATATAAGTAGTTATTTCTGTTCAGAAAACAAGATTCACTGTCATTAATACACGCTAAAATAAAAACTGACTTCCAAAATAAACTCAACTAAGAGATATGTTAGAAATTATTTGGGCGATTTTTTACTTTCTGTCGTTGTTTCGTATTGAAAACGTGATAGCATTTCTCTATACACATATTGTACTTCTCTGTCAATTCAAAAATTCCGGAACTTCAAAAAATTGATAAACCTAAGTTCATCTCGAATAGCAGTAGCTCATATTTACATCAGCTATCAAAGCCTTAGACAAATTATTCGAAAACTAATCCCTCGATATCACTCGTTGTTTTATTCCGATTGCAATTCTAAACGCACAAAAGAGAATCATTCTAAATTCATCCAGATCTTAGAAATTAAAAGTTACCGGTAAGAGCGCCAAAAAGACTTTTAATAACCCTTTTTTATTTTCTTAGCTAGTTATTTATCAGGGTTCCTCTCAACGCTTTTAAGTCTATTTCATCAAGAGCTTCCTGTGAAGATGAACTAGCGCAGCGAAACTTACAGTATGAGGCGTCTTTCTAAGAGGAAACTTTCTTTATCATGTAAGATTAACTGAGCCAACAGCATAGATTATAGCCAATTCCCGGTTGCTCACGAACACTCGACATTCACTCTTCCGTCGTGAAGAAACAGAGGTAGCTTTACTTTTATACCAATTGGAACGCAACGTTTAAAGCTCTTTTAAAGTTAGTATCGGTTAGTTTAATGCTTATTCAGAGGTGAGTGCATGTTCCTTCATATGTCGGATGTATATTTGAGAGATGACATTACAAGTGTTTTCTATAATGCAGTTTTGCGTGATACATATGACTTGCTTACTCCATGTTATTCTTGTGCAAAAACACATGTGCGTATGATAACTTTCTCGACATTCAAAAGTTTCTGGTCATGTAAAGCAAACCAAGTCTTCCCTAAATTGATTCCCGTGAAATGGGGACAAACTGAATAAATTGAATGAATTGGTATAACCCTACATTTAATGAAAACAAGAAGTTAATGAAAATTAATGAAGAATATCCCGAAAGAAATATGTAGTTATACGCGCTTCCCAAGACTAAATTTATTCTGAATGCGTACCGCAATATTTAGCAAATAATTATAGGACGTTACTCAGAAGAAATATATCATACACATTTGCTGTGATCACGAATTCTCAATGATGATCGTACAAACCGCAAAATTTGTCGATTTTTGCATGAGTATCTCTCAAAGGAAGCAAATGAAAATATGTAATCTTCTATTAGATATTTTAGTGGAGTTCTAACGAAATGTCACTAGGACAGTCATAGTTCAAACCAGAGTAATCGCAAAATCTCGCCTTTGATTTAAATAGAATTGGATTTAGAAGAAATTAAAACCCTTTGTTATTACAGAAAAGAGAGATTAAGTCTATACACATGCACTGTGTGCGGCAAATCTCACAAAGTTCTTCCGCTAGGCAAATTAAATTTGCTCTTAAGATGATGAAAATACTGGGTTTATTATGTTAATTTGAAAGAGGCGCTAAGTAACTCTCATACAATCTGAAGCCGTATATCATACGTCAAGGGTGAACGTGATTTAGTATTTCCTGCAAAGTTAAAATAGATACGTATCATTGAAGGAAAAGATCTCTGAGAATGGCAAAATGTTATTCCTATCAATACGAGACAAACAAATTAGAAGCAATGACTGAGAATTGGTCTCAGTAAATTTTGGCAAATCAAGGATTAGTATTTTTTAGCCCCTAATGGCTTGAAAAGGTAAACGCAGTTTGTGCATAATGAGGGTCACCTCAATTGTCGTGTTTAATTTGAACGTTTGTATACGAAATAAAGTTTGTCATGTGAAAGGCAAGATTTTAGACAACTCTCCGAAACCTCTTCTACTCATTTTATCTTTCAGCAATGAAGGGGAAAAGAGGATCAAGATTTTTCTTCCATCTTGTAATTCTGGTTCAATATGTTTTTTGCCATCCACATCTCGAGACAAATTCGGGGCTACTTTGTTGTGAGAAATTAACCAACACAAGTGATTTTCGCTGCTGGAATGAAACATCAGAGATGAATAGCACAGCGAATACGGCAGTAACTGGCCATTGTGTACGAGGAATGTCGAAGAAAACATGTTTTAAAGCAACTTTGTTGGAGCCATGCCGAGAAAATCCAATGGAGAGTATCATACCTCTGGGGAAGAGAGAAATACATATAGGAGCATTCGTTCCTTTCCTAAAGGATGATAGAAACGGTCACTATAATGCTATGAAGATGGCTATCGACATCATTAATAATAGATCTGATATATTGCAAAATTATACACTGGTGTTGGACGTGGAGGATACTGCTTGGGTGAGTGTATTACATCGTTTTTATCAGAATTCATGCGAAGCTTTCAATGTTTTTTTGTTTTTTTGCGAAAATAGTGCACCGAAAAATTTACATTAGGCGATATATTTAAGGACTCTTCCTGATTTTCTTTATTGTAACACTCATGGAGATAAGAATGTGTTGATGAGATTTGAAGAATTATCAATGATGACTGAGAATTCATGTCGGAATCTTCAAAATATCTTTTTAACATGCACTCCGAAATTACAGCCAACATGAACTAAAAAGCACCCCGAATATCGATTTAAACCTCTCAAAGATTTTGGCACAATGACCTTGTTAATTAAAATGTTTCTAAACCCGTAAATAATTCGTTACTTTTTTAATTCAACCTATGTGCTTCTCAGTTGTTAACCCCCTCTTTACCTGCATCCGAAAAAATATAGAAAAGAATTAAATCCATCCCTATCATTGAATTTCTGAGAAAACCACGGACGTAGAAGGAACTAAATTGGACAAAGTCTGGAATATTTCACAAAATTTGTATTATATTTACCCGTATGATCTAGTTTCAATTTCTTTTGTTGAGTAATTAAATTTATATTGACAGTTCTGCTTGTTGAAAAAGGCGACTATCAGATGATCAGTATTCTGTCAGTCATATCTCTGCACCTCTGTACACATACAGTCTCTCTAATTGACCAGGTGTCGGAGGAGTTTGAGTTTGAATGATAAATACATTAAACGAAGGTTTTGAGCTAACTTTTTTTAATTTCTCTTCCTTCTTGGCGGTTAGAGAGATCTTTTTCGCTTTTTCAGTTTAGATTCTCTATTAATCAAAGTTCCAATTTTCAAATGTTAGTTAATTCCTCACAAAAAAGCTTTATTTCCAAGATTTATTCCGCTCCGGTTTTCCCAATCACCGATAGCTAAATGTATAATTGAATGAAAACCTGGAAGCTGCGAATGGCGTTCTCTGTATCTCTCAGTGACTCCCTTCTCCCCTCCCCCAACCCAGTGATACACAAGATTGCAACCACCTTTACCAACATAAATTACACACTAAAGATTACCCTTTTCGATCCTTAAAGTCACTCAACCTAAATAACTTTGTAGGCTAAGATATGGAAGCGAACTTAAAATTTCTCAATACTTTTTGAAAGCTATCTCTATTTTCCTTCTATCTAGACTTCTTATAGAGTTGTTATTAATTTTTTGGTCTTCTTCAGTGGAACAATGGCTCTTTTTCCCTAAATTAAAGATTAACAAACTAAGGACAGGACAATAAAATTTTCAGAAGTGGAAACCGAGAATGAGGCAAATCTTACCCCTGTTTTAATTCTGTGTCCTACATGTCCTTCAATCATCTCAGTTTAGATCCGAGGACTGTTTCGAAGGCGACTTCCTGAAAATGTTTTTAAATTGACCTTCCCCTTGCAGTTAAAGTTCCGGTACGTGATGTACGAACAAATTAATTTAAACTAGAACGTGACTTTTGGAATCGATTTTAGTCCAAAAACAAAACAATCATATGTCTCTGAGTTGTCTGCTTGCTTGATGGTAAAAGCATTGTAACGAAATAACACTTCGTAAACTAAAGTTTTGTCTCTAAGGAAAAGTAAAAAGACTTGAGAAAAATTCGACAACATTTAGGGTTATTACTCCAGACTCTCCATCTAGATCATGTAAAGCGTGCGAGAAAAGGTTGAGTGGTCATTTCCGTCCAGAGAGTTAAATCTTGGCGTCTGATAGCCTTCCATTAAGGTAAATGTATTAATTTGTTCCAGGAAAGTCAAATATATTCTGAATTTTTTTTATCGGCTCTTTTGATTTCTAAGAATATTAATCTCTTTATTAAATTGAAAAAAAATGGACAGAAGAAAGGTACAGCACCTGTTTAAACAAGTCTTCCTTCACATGAAAATACTTTAGAACCTTTCTTGCATTAATCTTCAACACATTTTGGTAGAGGTAAAAACAATGACTATTTACTGCCATTGCATGGAAAGTAGCAAAGCATCAAGGATAAGACTTTCAAAATAAGATTTGTAACAACACACTATGTGCACTATGTCTCTTTTAGTCACTTAAAATAAAAATGGTGAAGGTGTCTGCAAATTCCATATCTTAAATCTGTCACGCCTAATTAGCGTCTGAAAGCACAGAAGCAGCATTCAAAAGCTTTGCTTGAAAAATTATGAATGGATTCCACGAATATTCAACGTGTCGTGGTTTGAGTTACGCACCTCAGGCAGGTGCCCGATTATATTTAGATATGGCCAAGAGATATACGACTGATGTGACGGCAGGTTATAGACTCCAGAGGAAAAGAGAAGTAAATTATACACAAGTTCAAGCCTTGATAACGAATACGTTGGAGAAAGTGATTTTTTTCTATTTCCGCTTTTTTTCTCTTTTCCCGAGCAGTTTCTTGTTGATGGAGCAGAGCTATGATAGTCCAAATTGCTTTACGTCAAACATCCGCACCAAAGCATTGAGTGGTGAAATCAGTTTGCGATTCGCAGCAGCCTTAATGAAGATATGAGACTTTCGAAGGAAATATTCGCTCTGAAATTAAATCAGATTAAATGGGTTGATTTAAGTAGGCAATGAAAATAAGAGCTCCCGCACATCGGCTCCTTTGCTTGGATGAGTTCCAGAAGCTAACAGCCCAAAGTGAGAAAAGAACAGCTTCTGCTATCACTTGTTTACGGCCCACTAAGTTATCTGGTATTTTTAATAGAGCACCATTCCCAATCATTATCATTTTAGGACGATGGTGCAAACGCCATAAAGGCGTTCTACAAACTGCTAAACAAGGAAAGGAGACCTGCAATATTGCTTGGACCTTCAAGTACAGAGGCCTTAGAGCCTGTGGCAGAGGCTGCGCCACTGTGGAACCTCATTCAGGTTTGGTTTAAAAATGTTGCCCCCTTGGGAGGAGTTCAGAACAAGATCTTACCAGACGGAAATAGTTGGCCGTGCCAATTATTTATTTAGCAAACGTCCTTCGTCAACTGGACCTTGAACGACACCCGTAGATAGCTGACTACACACATCAGACTCTAGGACTCCTTTTACAGAGTGACAAAAACCAACTGTTACATAAACATAGAAGAAAGAGTACACAAAAAAAAAACAGACTCCTGACTGGAATCAGACTCCAAGTCTGAGATTTACTATCTGCAATCTGCAGAGTGCGACTTGTAATTGTATGAACAACAAAACACCTCTATACTTTTAATCGTCGCAGTCCATTTAAAGTCGGACTACGTAATTTAAGAAAGATGTTAAAGCCGACTGGTTTCCTCTTTTATGTAGGTTTCATACGCGTCAGGCTCTCCAAAATTTGATTCAGGGAAATATCGCAACACTTATCGAGGAGCTCCATCGTCAACGTCATACAGCAAGGCTAAGGTGGCCTTTATCAAATATTTTGGCTGGAAAAGAGTGGCTATACTCTATCAGTATGATCCAGAATTCTTTTCCCCGGTAAGTTCTTACATTGTTCTTTTGAACAAATATCTCAGGGAAAAAATATGGGAGGGGAAGGTTAACTGCTGGCCAAGAAGCAACTTTCCGAGGTGATAGTAAAGGCATTTTCAACTAATGATTTGTAACAATTTATCATTTACTTTGTCTTTTATTTTTTTTATTTTCTCCTTTCTTTTATTTTTATTTTTCCTTACTGATACGTAATGGGTATCATATCGAAAGAGATTTAGAGACTGATACCTTTCCCGCTAATTTGGTACACGTTAAACCCTCGGAGACAGCTCAAGAATCAATTTGCGACATACCTAGATATGTATGAAACAAAAGTCACCATAGAATGTTCACAGTCCTCTGTACGAGGGAAATAAAAGAGAGTTCCAAAATGTAAAAAGAAGTTTTCGAGAAACAAAAAAAGTCAGTCTTTATTTTCTCTATTTGTATATCTGCAGACGGTGGATAAGCTCAAAAATGAACTGAAGAAAAACAATATCAGCATCATTGCAGTGGAGGGATTTGAACAGCTTGGCGACGTCAGTTTTCAAATACGGAAACTCAAGGTGACTTAAGTACCCTGTTAAACACTTTTACAAATCCCTATAAATAGGCACTTACAACTACATAGCTAAAATTGACTGAAATTCATTTTTTAAAACGCTCCAAACTAGGTAATTTAGTACGTCAGATTTAATGGAACTTGACGCAAGCAATATTAGGAGTAGGGTTTATAATGCTACAGGGATAACCACTGTGAGATATACGAGAGAAACCGATGCCGCAATCGGAACGGGGCACTCCATCTTTGGCTTGCTCTGAGTCTACTCTTTCTTTCCAAATCAGTCTCTAGATGCAAGAATCATAATAGGCGAGTTTGGCTCCGTCGGAGCCCAAAACGTCTTTTGTGAGGTAAGTGGAGTAATCATCTAAACGCCAGTTAGAGGCTACAAAACAAGTCCTGCTACAAAAGAAGTCGCGATAGGAATTACGAGAGTTTTCCTACGATTTCAACTGATCATTTTCTCATTATTTATTGATCTCTATTCAGATCACTTCGAGGAGCCTTCAGTAAAATACCTCTTAAAGTCTTGTTCTTTTGGCTTTTTTTTTTTTTTTTTTTTTTTTCCACAAAAGCCCCAGAGCTAACCTCACCTAAAGTTTATAACTCTACCTGTGTTTGATATTTTTTTGCAGGCTTTTAAGCAAAAAATGTATGGTCCGAACTATGCCTGGATAACATTTGGCGATGTTGCACCAAGCCAAATATTTCGATTGCCAGACAAAGAAAAGATTCCTTGCACAGTTGACGAGCTGAGGCAAGCAGCTGATCGTTACATATCGATGGTCAAGCTAGATATTCGCCAAGATGACAACGTAACGTTCTCTGGAATGGTACGTTCTGGCAATTGCTAAGTTGCTTTAGTTACATTGTATTCTCCGTTAACCAACCTGTAGAGAAGAAACTCTTTAATTTAAAAATCGCAATGCGTCGGCACCTTTATCCAAGTAGATCTAAACGAAAACAGCATGGACAGTTTTTCCCCTAGTCATTAATTATTGGGAAACAAGCCTCTACGGCTACCAGTCCTAGTGCCATGATTAGTAACCTAATTAAGAGCTGTATATCATTTTTTTTATCTATCCGCAGACTGCGGAAGGTTTTTGGAGAGAAATGCTCAAGTTGAATAAGAACAAGTCTCTCAGAAAAGAATCTGCGTACGCCTTTGACGTAGCATGGATAATCGCGTTAACACTGAACGCTTCCCTCGCCAATGGATTGGAGTACGAGAACCTCCACACGCCAGATTACAAATATCCTCTTGGGATGAAACAACTTATCAGGAAGATAAGTTTTCAAGGACTTACTGTGAGTAAAAGTTTGGTCTTACCGAATCATTGATGTCAGGCTAAAATAAAAAATGATAACAGGGTAATTTAGTGTTATCGACTAAGTTGAAATCGTAAACTGGACACCGTAAAGAGTTTAAAGGCTAACATTTCGAGCGTTAGCTCTTCTTCAGAATTATTGGTGAAATTGTGGGTTGTGTGTGGGTTTATATGCAAAAAATGGAGCTACACTATTGGTGGGAACATGGTGACGAGAAAACAAGATGAAATTAGTTGAATGAAAAGCGCTCGTTGATGCCGTGGAATTAGGAGTGCCGATTTGGACGATAAATTTTTGTTCTAGAGTTTTGCGGAAATAGGAAGACGACTAGGGGACCGATTCCGAGAAAAACTTCTCGACGTAGAAAGAAATGACATGGATGCATTCAAATCAGTCTCTAGACACTTTAATCTCCCTAATCACTCTAAACAGCATATGGTAGTTTGCGTTCTTTCCCCACACCTAGGCAGTTCGGAAAGCCGCAAAACTCAAGAACAAAAATTTATTTTTTGTTTTCTCGTCACCATATTCCCAGCATAGCTCCATTTTCTGCATGTAAACCCACACAAAACCCACAATTCCTCCAATCGTTCTAACGAACGGCTAACGCTCGAAACTTCAGCCTTTAAACTCTTTACGGCGGTCAATTTACGTTTTCAACTCATTTGATAACACTAAATTACCCCGTTATACTCTCCCACGGACGCAGCACCACAGTTTACCTAGGAACGTACCCCTTTAAAAAAAAAGATTGTTGGTTGGATGGTTTTCCCGTGAAAAAGTCAAAAATTAATCCTAGAAAGTGCATATACTTGGACAATTCGCTGAGTTCAGATGTCGTAGGAAATGTTGTCTCTACCCCCAATGAATTATGTTAATTCCTTACGCGAAGTATTTGGTTAGTCTCAACATTTCAATCAATCAATTTCTAAAGCACAGAGAGGAGCTTATTGACAAGAAGAACAAAATAGCTGTCAATTTGTCCCGGCTCTAATTATGATTTCAAACTCATGGCTATATTTTCCTTTCGATAGGGTCCAGTTCGCTTTGAAGATAACAGAGAGCGATTGGGAACAGTTCTTATCAAACAGAACAGGAAAGGTACATTTACCAACTCTTAAAGAGAAAAAAACATGAAAGGTCCAGGTAAGGTATTCAACGACCTTCCACATGCAATGGCTTGCAAAAGCACAAACTACTGAAACCTGAAACAGAATACCGTTTGTATAAAAGGTACGTCAAAGGAGTATCTGCGCGAAAAGGGAACGTAAGAGAGCGGTGTCCTCGACTCTCTGGCTGAAACACCCTCTAAAAGAGTGTCCTCTTAATAGCTTACTAAGAAGCCATAGCGATACCCATCGGGAAGTAGTAAAGTCAGTAAAGCTGCTAGCCCTATATACGTATGTAATTAAGACGTTCAAATGTCGCTCGCTTTACATAGTCAAATGAATACCTTTCGTGGATGGCAGGAAATCCGCTTTCGACCTTTCAAACATTCAAAAGATAATTCTTGGAGGGACGTATCTCCCTTGAGGTGTTCACGACGAAGATTATTGTAGCCGCTTAAACCATTGACTAACAAAAGTTCTATGAAATCGTTTTTACAATGCTTTCTCTATCGCTACTAAAAGTTTGGAATTGGGTCTTTATCTTTCAGGAAATGAGACCAGAATTGGTCAACATTTTACGTTCTCAGATCAACTCCACATCTTCAAAGATGAAAAAAAAGAAATATGGCCTGGTAATTCATTTTGCTATAATCTCATATAATATCAGGCTCTCAACTTTGCAACAGTATTCTAAACGAGCTTCCTTGTCTCCTCTTACCATCGTGTTTTCATGAAAGCGATACCATTTATAGCCATACAACATTAATTAGAGAGAAAAGAAGTACAAAGCTACCTGAGAGAATTGTGGCATTGAAAATGCAGGATTTCTCAACCATTTGGTCTGGATTTGAGACGCAAAATATTTCATGATTCATTTTGTATTAACTTTATCGCTTTGTTCGATCTTTGAGAGTGCTGTGGTGAAGATATATATTTCAAAAATTTCAGTGTTCTAAATTAAGCCTGCTTCTCTTTTTCAGATAAGATACCAAAGGACGACACTGTCAGAAATTTTGAGTTCATGATAATCCCGCTACCTCTTATAGTAATCATGTGGCTTATGGCAGTGGTGGGAATCATCTGCTCAGCAGGGTTTTTATATTTCAACATCAGCAACCGAAAGCATAGGTAACAACATCGTCCAAAAGTCAATAAAACATAATAACATCACTTAATATGTAATATCAAATGGAAGGAAATTTTAGGGTGTGTGTTGACCAATAGAGGTTTCGCTCCAAACAGATGATTTAAATCTATAGCCGGCTTACTTAAAAAAAAAAATGCTCCTCTCTAACCTAAGAAACACTTGGCTAATTGCTTTGAATTAGCTGAGGTGGGCTGATGTACTAAAGAAATCTTGACTGACAGACAGAAGTAAGAAAACGAAAAGATTAGTGAAAGGCTGTAGTTATCATAACAGGTGGCGAAAACATGAGCAAATAATTAGTTGAGTCGACAGTGTCATTATTTCATTTCTATCAAGAGAGCTGACAGGAGTCGAGGAAAGTTTCGGTAATAACATTTCATCTTGTATGAAGCTTATGTCGCCATTTCTCCAAAGGGTTTATCGAGCATGGGAACCATGCCACTTGTTCGGAAGTTATCAAATCAATGACGATACTCGACTTTATCAAAGTTTTTCATAGTAATCCTTTGCCCAAATAACTGCCATAGAAACGTGGCACCCCTTTCGATACCTAGAATAAAAAGACTAGGTATTTTTATTTTACTTAAATAAGTTCGTTTGCTACGGAAATAAATTCTGAATTGAAACATTCTCCTAGCCCGAAAAGGTCGCCTTTTTTCGTCGTTTTTGAAAGTTCCCCCATCAGGTCTCATGCGATAATTTATCTCAGTTTTCTTTACGAGCATTAACGTCCTTGCATATCACCCACGAACGATAAATCGTTTGAGAAAGAAAACCTTAACTAATTGGTTTTTCCCCCCTCACACCCCTTTCGTTTTTCTACTTTATAATGGCCATCAATAGAGCCAGTTGCATCGCTGAAGACAACAACCTTGTGCTTTTCCATGTGTTTTATATAGAGTTATCAAGATGTCGTCGCCGAAGCTCAATAACATAATTATCTTGGGATGTATACTTTGTTACGCCTCGGTTGTTCTTCTTGGATTAGATGCGAGGTTTCTTGATATTGGAGAATACGGATACATTTGCAATGTGAGCTAGCCTTTTACTGTATTTCGTGGGAGTTATTCCTGAAACAGCATTACATCATTTCCGTTGTTGATATTCCATTAAGGGTTTCCCATACTGGAAAAAAGGAAACGACATTTACAGGAAAATCAACCAGTAAGCTCAAACTTAGGTCATCAGATGTAGGAACATTATTCTGTAAGAGTCATACATTATACAGTATACTTTACTACAATTCCTATCTGTGCAAGCTCATTTTCTGCTGCATGGTCAATAGTTATTGAAAAATGTTTTAAAGATTTAGCGGATTGATTAGCAAACCGTTGTTTACTAGGTAATGCATAGCTTTCATTTCCACATGACCCAAAAAAAATAAATGGGTAAGTCTATCTCTTCAGTTCTTCGAACAGGCCAAAATTGATCCACTTTTCATAAATAAATCAACAGGCGCGAACTACAGTACTGTCCTTTGGTTTTTCTTTATCATTTGGTGCCATGTTCAGCAAGACTTGGCGGGTTCACAAGATTTTTACAGCCGCTAAGACTCTCAAGAAAATGGTGAGATTAATTGCGATAATTGTAAGTTGGAGACGCCTAAAAAATATACCCTATTACACCAGTTGTTCGAAGAATAAATTAGTTTGACACGCGACTCAAAAAATAGGCTACCAATTTCTTTAACAATATAAGTACAAAAATTGTGATAACAGATTGTGAACTCTTATAATCTGAAACATATTTTTTCTTTCACAGGCAATAAGGGATTTTCATTTGCTTGTCATTGTAGCAAGTTTATTGTTGGTAGACTTAGTATTCTTATCCACATGGGTAGCAATTGATCCTCTTAAAACCGAAATATTGCGCTTCGAAGAGTTGGTGAGTAACAACAATACAGTTACATCTCTGTCAACGCAACGAATAATGGTGTGTTTATATATAAGTCATCGACTAAACTTAAAATAAATTTTCCATTTTTTTTTTCTCTTGTTCGTGCCCTACTTTGTTCCGCAAAGTTACAAGTCCGGAACCTTGGAAACTCCAATTACCGTTAATTTCCACCCAATGTTTGAAGTAGAAAATGTAATAAAGAAGGTTCAGTGTATCGATAGGCCAACAATCGCCTAAACAAGATCGAGGTAGCAACTTGTTCAACTTCCAAACTCTGGCTGAATTCCTTAATCTCGTCACTTGCGATCCTTTTTATCGCCCTTTCGGTAGCCATCCTTGTTTCTCATTAATGTATCATTGCTTCTCCCATGTTTTTCAATCTCGTCGAACAAATACATGACACTCTTCTTCGAGTTCAAAAAATCGCCTAGTTTCTAATTTAGAAACGTAACCTTGTCGTAAAACCATGAATATCGTGATCTAGATATCTTGTACCAAAAAAGATTTGTTATGTCTTTTTTGTGTTTTCTACTAACAGACACAAAAAGAACAAGATGTTATCATTATCCCTGCGTTATTCCAGTGCACCTGTAGATACAAGACATATTTTCTTGGGGTATTGTTTGGCTACAAAGGAATTCTCCTGCTGTTTGGGCTCTTCCTGGCTTGGGAAACACGTAATGTTACCATTCCTGCTCTAAACGACTCCCGATACATCGGAATGTCGGTTTACAACGTGGTGGTGCTCTCCATCATTGGGGCTATAGTGGCCATTGCCTTGGATGGATCCATGTACTATAAAGCACCTTACGCCGTTTCGTCGCTGTGTCTCATCGTGTGCACCACTGCGACACTCTTACTGGTTTTTGTACCAAAAGTAAGTTATAAGAACTCTTTTCATTCCAAATAGTCATGTGCACCTGTCACGAAAAGGGAGGAAAATAACGAAATTAACATGATAGCAAATGGTGAAACTGTCCGAATAAATTTAATAGTCACAAAGAGAACGTTCTTTATCGCTGAGTGATACTGCAAATCTCTTCATATTTTGCCTTTAGATGTATCAATTTCTAACAAAGGATGAGTCGTTGACAACTCAGGCCTCGAGTATGCATATCGGCCAAACTAGAAAAGGAGCTACCAGTAACAGCTTTAACTGTGGTACAAGCCCCGTCCTGAGGGAGCGTAACACCTCATTTACTTGTAAAGGAACACAAACAGACTGTGATGTCCCTGGAAGTGCAGGTACGTGGGACAAATGTTATTTTTTTGTGAACATAATTATCTCGATTCTTCTACTGTAGATGGCATAAGCAGTACATCTTCCTAATTTTTGCCTCGAATACTATTAGATTAAACTGTTGCTACTACTTTTAGGAAATAGAACCCTGCTCCTTTCACTAGTAGAAACCGATGTAAAATACGACGGACAAGACTAAAATCTTGTAAGTAAATTATATTCAAATTTAACAACTATGTCTCCCACCAGCCTTAGGTACCACATATACAATCGGCCTCGAATAGAGGCCACTTAAACAATTATCAATTTGTGCTGAATATTCTTAGTCAGTTAAATGTCTAATTTTCTTTTATGTATCCTTCGTAAACACCTTAAGTCTTTCATATATACGCTCATTTATTCCCTCGACACCAACAGCGCTGACTGTTGTTCTAACACATCGCATTGCTTCCTTGATAGTACTGTTTTCCTTTAATTATCCTCAAAAACTAATTGTTTTTTTGATAACAGTGTACTGTCATTTACGGACCGAAGGTACTTTTCATGTTATGTTCCATAAGGTTTACCTTGATCAAGTGGAAAAAAAGCAACCTGAGCGCTATTCTGTCCATTTCAAATTTCAGCAGGAATTCCTGGGGATAACGGAGAAAACGCCCAATCAAAACGGGCCTTCTATTTAAAGGATACGATGAAAAGTTTTACGATAACCCAAATTGCCAATCTTTTGGAGAGAAAATGTCATTCGACATTTCTCTATCGTTCCTTTATTATGAATGATTTTGGCATGGAGTAGCTTCGGGTACTGCGTTTGAAAGGTTTGGGAGAGTAATCAAAGCAACAAACAGTACAGTTGACGGTGTGAGAGCCATTACTTTTCCTCATTTCTTTACACCTAACCTATTTAATTTACTTTTCAAGTAAACCGAGTCATGTTCCAGAGCAAAGGTTCCTCGTCAGATGACAGACCTTATGAAATTCGGATGGAAGACATCGAACTTAAGGAAAGCATGGTGGTAGCGTCCACTCAGACCCGTGAGCCAAGCATCAAAAACTATTACTCTGAAATTTCATAAAACTTATAACCGTAACAAATCGAGTGATGTAGCAGTAAAAAGCAACCACTTAACTTGTTATATCATTCTACTGTAGCCTTTGTCAAAGTGTCAAAATATTTCCCGTTTTACCCTAGGTTAAAATTAGAGATGCAAATGAGATAAAAACTATTCGAATCCATACTGTACATACGTCCAAAAGTGAGTCTTCGTCTAACTTATTTTGACCCAAAACGGTTACTTTACCACAGCTGTGGTTAACGACTCACGTTTTGACGTGACTGTGTCGCAATCTTCTAGGGGAAAGTGGTATTTCTTTCAGAGGTCGTCGGTCAGATATTCGTTTAGAAGCATTGCCTCGATTTAGGAAGTAACGTCTCGTCATTTCAACCACTTTGTCTGTAAACAGTAATTTCTGTGCAAGTTTATTTAACGAGTCTTTTCATGACCTAATTCCCATCACCATTCTCGAACCATCTCCTCCTTTCCCTCGTTTCGATATTGTAACAAAAAAATTCGGTCCTCGAAAAAGGAATGAAAGGGGAGAGGGATGTTTCGACAAAAGTTGACAAAAGTTGTAGTCCTCTCGGCGAATTACACTTTACTCGATGCGACTGTAATTTTCTTGGCAAGACTGAAGTGTGAATAAAGAGAAAAGCTCGTGAAGAAGCCCTCATTAACCTGCCAGCGTCGGTCAGGGTATTTGTCAAACCAAATAAACTTGAATCTTCTCCAACTAAAATACTGAGCCTTCATTAAGGTACTATCATAACCAGGGCAAAAGCAGAGACCCTCCATCTGGAAATTGTAATCGTAAAAAATCTAATCTTCAGAGGCAATGTACGAATAAAGATAACTTTTGGAATCAGTCCAAGTTTCCTTAAAACACTGGCATGAACTCTTAAAATGCATTAACTCAAACAATAAAACATGTAATGTTTTATGTTAATCGTTTAGCCAAGAACATGGAACAAAAAAAAATTGGGTCTCCTATTGGGAATCCATCTGAAGAACTCGCGCACCGGCGCACTATGCTGTCTATTCTAAGCTATAGAAACTCCCAATGACATTCTGCATTCTGTATCAAAAGTTTAACAAAGAAATACATTAAGAAAGATGACACATTTTAGCATGAAATGTGCACTTGTTTTTATTCTATTTACACAGTAGAACATGCTTTGCAGGAGTTTGGAAATATGACAGCGTGAATTTTTTTTCTCTTTGGTGTGAGGATTTCTCAGGTCACGAAACGGAGAGGAATGATTCATCGTCCCTATCTGGGTCGGTCAGTGATATGAACGGCATATCTGTTCGAAAAAGCCATGTTTTATTATTTTTTCCACCATATGTTCAAAAAGGAAATGAGCTTTACCGGGATAACTGCTTTGATGTTTTGATACTAGAACTTATTACAAGGAGTCGAGAAAATGTTACAAAAGCCAGATGATCCTTAGGCACCAAAGTAAAGTTTCTAAAGACTGTTCAAGTAGTGTCTAGATTATCCTTAGAGTCTCCAAATGTCTTTGGCATACACATCTAATCAGTTTATAATATCTTACAACACATTGCCCTTGTGGGAGAGGTCTCCGATTCCTTGCAGCAAAGTGGGAGTCACATGAGAACATGGGCCTAGCTTTCTCCGCGCGCACTCACGCAACTCGCGTTTGGCTCATGCTCAGGTCATACTTCTCCCGCTCAGCCAAGAGAAAGCAGAAAGACTGTTACACAAGGTATCTTCAATAAAGCAACGTCGCTTGGCCACTGGACGAGACCACTAGAAGCTACCTTTCCACAGGTATTCCTGCGTTTAACACCGCAGACTCAACCTTTTTTTGTTGATCAAATTTGTGACAGCGGCAAACTGAACACGATGAACAAATAAACTTAAGTGTTAAGCCATTCAAATTATTTTCTTCTCTTGCTTGGTCTTTGAAATGTCTGTTTACTGCCACCTGCGCGAACCGTGTGGAATTTCATGGCTAAGGTGTTCTCCTGCGTCCATGGCGAATCCATCTTTAAGGAAGAAAAGAACAATAGCGAGCAATTAGACCACATGCTGACGAAGGTTAAACATGAAGGTGGATTTTCACTGATGCCCAATACAAGATAAGTAGAAGGCGAGTCTTTCTTTGAGTAGAACTAGAGATACAATTGACGGGGAGTTTAGGCACAGGGACTACAGACCCCAGTTGTTAATTGTTTTAGAATACAATGAAAAAAATCCTATATAGAGTTTGGTTTTTTATTTTTCCTCAATTTATGAATCATATTGAAGGTTTTAATTGTGAGACTTACCTGTGTTGTATCTTGATCGACCAAATGCGTATACTTCGTTCTGCCTGATCGACCAAAGTTCTTCACCTACAACGGAGAACATTCCTCATATAGTCAATAAACCTACTCGCGTTCAAAGTTTCTTCTTTTCTACAGGATTCCCTCGTTGTTTGTTGCTATGTACAGGTTACTGTGCTTTGTGAACCTATTTTTAAAAGATGCACGGTGTAACTGCTATCATGACGTGACTGACCTCATTCGAAAGAAGTCCTATGAAGCTCAATTTGTTTCTCTACCTAGTTGAATATTTGTTCGGTTCTCTTTGCCCTCCTGCCTCATATCACTGTTGCCTTATCTCTACCTAACACGGCGCCTAAAGTCTAGCCTGTTATCATTATCATGTTTTAATTTTTTTTCAAAGGTGGGTGGGTGGCGCTTCTAAATTGAAGGAAACTTCCACCATCTAAAGACTTCGTTTAGGAACGCCAATTTACTTCGCATCCTAAGAGCTTTTGCCTCTTTGAGTACTACCCCTTCCTCCTTAGTGGATGACTTGTTTACAGCAGGCTTCCTCCTGACTTAGAATTTTGATTACCAAGTTAGATAAGAATGAGAAAATTAAACTTGAACAAGGTTCAAAGGCGTGGATCTTAGGTCAACAGGCATTGCACCCTCATAGCCATTGTCTTCCAAGCGGTAACTAATTAAAGCGTGCAAATCGATTAAGTATTGTTGATCAGAACCATTTAGCAACCAAAAGAGAAATTCGGGACAAAGGAAAATGTCACAAGGAGCCCATGGAAACTAAAAGTGGTATATTAGAACTGCCTGATGTGTGGAACAACGCGGCTAAACAAGTTGCGATTGGAGCTAGTTTTACAAGTGATCCAATAAGAAGGTCTATTAACCAACTGCTTGATGCAATGACGGGAAGCCCGAGCAAAACCAAATTGCATTCCATTCTCTTTTGAAATTGGTCTCATGTATTTAAGGAGTATGCAAAGTTCAGCTAATACATACCTGCATTACTTTAGGAAGAACTGTTTTATCAAAATGATCCTCCAGCGTGGGTTTAGCAAAGTCGCGCGTGTACACACCATCTTCTTTGTCCTTCGGAACAAAGAACATCATGAGTTAGCACAATGTACGTGTAGCATGGTTAGAGTTCCATAACAAATCACTATACAGCTGTAAAAACACCACAAGTGTGTGCACTCACCATAAAAAAGGCTCCCCGGTGGTAGTATTTCTGTAAGAACTTGTATTTGCCTTTGATCGCTTTGTTCGTGACTTGTTTCGGATTGTTCTTCACTTCCATTCTCCATTCATCTTCTGTCAGACTGCGTAGACGCTCAGCCTCGAGCCGTTCCCTCTCTAACCTGGAGATAAAACCAACAAATTTCAGCGAACTCTCGATAAACCAGTCAAACTTAGAACCGTCCAGTGGTGTTCCTAGCATGGAGAATACAAAGGCTAAAGAGGAGGGGACACCGCCCTCCGATATTCTGTCTAGTTTCCCAGACAATTTGCTGAAACCCAATCATATTCGGGGAGAGAGAAGAGGAGAGGAGCTTTGAGGGTATACGAAAAGAGACTATGCCACTCTAGGGAAATTCAATCAACAGAAGTACTTACTGTTCCCGTTCATCTCTGTCCCTTTTGATACGTTTTAGTTCGCGGACCTTCCATGCTTCGTACTTTGAAGGAAATAAATATTTTAGTTAGATGTGCACCAGAGAAGACCATTTACAGCTTATCGCTAAGTTTAAAATGGATTAAATTTTATTGGAAGTAATATGTATAATGTGAGAGATCCCTCTTTCCTTCTATTCCTTTGTTATGAACTGGAAAAAAAGGAAAAATAAACAAACACCAGAACGAAACCCAACCAACTAAACCAAATTTACATGATCCACGAATTCGATTGCTATTGCCTCGTATCTATCCTTTTCACTAAATTGTCACCATGCGAAGTCTTAAAAATACTTCATCACAGTTTCAGCACCTTGGTAATTAGAAGAAAAGGGATGGCTTATAACTACAAATGTCCAAATCCAGTGTTCAAGACAATACGAAATGACAAACTTGACCATTCACAAATGATTTGCAACCTTATTTTTCACAAAGAGATTTTGATCAACGCCAGTAAGTGATATGAAAATGTGCATGACACCATACCTCTACTTCATCATCTTCATCGTCTGTGATTATGATGTCTTCCTCATTCTCCACTGCAACAACAAATAGCTCAGTTAACATAAACATCCTTTGATGACACGAGCAGCGTTACATCAAAGAGCGGGGCACACATGAGGCAGCAATAGGTTGTGACACGTCTTTCTAACAAAACAAGTTTGCAACGAAACAACTTTGAGACAAAATACTCTCTGTGCTCTCTGTGTAGTGTTTCCAAAACTTGTTTGTGACATACTGCTTTTGTGACTTGTTGCAGTAAAATTTCTGTCGCAGGGAGAAAGATTTTTCTGAAAGTTGCATGTTGCATAAACTATACAATGAGTGCCATATGTCCTTGCCATTTGTCTCAGCCACTAGTTGCCTGGGTTTCTTAGCCTCAAAAGCAATGTACCTTCTTGTTCTTCCTGTAACTCTTTCCTAAGAAGGTCCTCAACAAGCTGTAAAACAGAAGAGAATTTGATGCTTCAGTTTTTCATTACCAAATTCATTGTCTTCATTTTCTTCCCCTGTCTACGGTATCCTCTAGTTTGAAGTTTTCTTCATTGTCATTTTTTGTCAGCTCAAGAATAATGATACTGTTAGGAGATAATACTTTTTGATCACTGAGGGGGCGGGGAGGGGTAGACCAATACTACTTACCAAGTAATATTGAATTCAGCTGCGTGTACCAGTGATCTTGGAGGCACAGATTCGAATCACTTTAAAACCTGATTTTTTTTGCTTTTCTTCTGCAATTACCGAAATTGCAGTTCATACGCATGTATTTCTTCCCTTCCATTTCCTCCACAAGTTTTAATAAAACATATTGCACTAAAACTGTAACAACATTTATACAATGGACGACACTGTGCCCTTGTAAACTTCTAAATGTCTGTTAGGAATTTGTACCTTGCGTGATGATTTTGCCCTTTCCTCGTGAACCTTCTTTTTTTCTTCCTCTTTGCGCTCAAGATCAAGCTGCATCTGTTCGCGTTCTTGAACAGTGACTCTGTCACTCCTGTTAAATGCAAAAAGGTGTCTGCATTAGTTTGGTGGTTTTTGATAATACAAAAGTGTCATTTATCAATCATTTCAGATTTGAAAGGAAACAAAGGTCCTTTTATCAACTTGAAAAAGTATGAAAAACTTTGCGGAATAAGAAATCCATTGATAAAATACGGCCACAAAAAATCAATATAACAGTTGTTACATCAGCAAAGCCACAAGGACTGTTATTAGGTTAGGCACTTAACAGACCTGACATAGACATGCCCAGTCCTATTGCCAGTTAAATCTGTACCCTGTCCACCTTAACTGCTAAAATCAGGTTGTTTAGAACCAACTCCCTTTAAATTTTTTTCAATAATTAACTGTGAAATATTGTGTTTTAAATTCATCATAACAGCTCATGTGTAAAACTTACTTGCGCACAAACACTGGTTTAAACCTTTGGTTGCCTTCCTCTTCAGAATCTGTGTATTCTTCATATTCTGAAGACTAAAAAAAGACATAATTTATTCTTACATAGTTATGCTTGATATTGTAAAATTGGGAAAGGCCCACCCCCCCCCCCACACACAAAAGAAATAGCCCCTTAAAAGAGTATTCCACCCCAGATCCATCTGCACATGAACAAAGTTCAAAACCATACTACAATTGTTTCTTCCCAAAATAGTCTAGCGAAACTAAATACTTGATCATATGCATGGTTTTCATTACAGGATAGAAACTGGTACTGACCACTGACAACTGCTGAGTTGCTGTAGTAGCAGAGTGAAACTGGGATGTGCATCATTAGCTCATGTTATACAGGTTAGAAGAAATGCTGTACACAGGTAATAATGGGCAAATTCAAGTCAAAAAAATGTAAAAAGTTTTCTTTCAAAAGAACTGCTTATAAGAATTTCCATTTTCTAGAAAGGGAATAAAGCTCAGCTACATCAAATTCACTGATGTTTGGTCCCAAGAGGGGAGTCTAAAAGGTCATTTGTCACTTGATTGTACACAAACCTCCTCTTCTTCCTCTTCCTCATCTGATTTAGCTTCTTCTTCTAAATCCATTAAGTCCTAAAAGATCAAAAAAGACCTTCCATTAGAGAAAGATGTCATTCATTTGTCTTGTGATTGAGAAAAAAGAAATATCCCAGTTCTCTGCAAGATTTTTAACAGCAGACATTCCCATCTTGTGATTAAACACTCCCTTGGAATATAGAAGGGATCCTCATAGTTATGAATACTATTGAACTAATACTGAAAATAAGGCCTGAAAAAAATTCAGGCCTGTATGGGATTTGAACCCATGAGCTCCACAATACTGGTGCAGTGCTCTACCAACTGAGCTAACAGGCCAATTGGGAGCTGGTTATTATGTTGATTACAAATAAACCCTCCAAGTGGAGAATATAGGACTGTAAATATGTGAAAATCATATAAGTGCACTGAGGTTGAAGAAACGAATATAGAAGTTATGCTTGCTGTTATGAGTACTACTGAATGAGTAGTGAAAATAAGGCTGGAAAAAATTCAGGCCTGTACAGGATTTAAACCCATGAGTTACAGTGAAATCCTTAGTAAGCTAGACAATCTGCAGTGGGTGTGCTTCTTGCTGAAGCACATAGTCCCCATAAGCATCATTTTAACTGATGACTTATGGTTAAAGAAACACACCCTCTTCACACATGGCCTCTATTTAGGTTATAAACAATTAAATCTCTTTCAAAGGGTGTAAATGGGATTTCAATATGCATTTCCATCTGTAATTTACTTAAAACACTTTAAAAGCAACTATAGAAAGGAGACCTTTTGAAACACTTTACTGATTAAAAAGTAACTGTGAATTCACCTTTTCAGTTTCTCTTTGTCTTGCCCTTTCCCTGAGCATTGCTCTTCTTCTCTCAGTTGCCTAAAAGATGATAGAATAGGGATGAAATTATAACAAATGCACACATGAATGCTACATGTACATAAAGAATATTTTAAAGTTTGATAGCAAACTTTCAGGATCAAATTAGTAATTCCCCCATCTCCCCTTTGTTTCATATACATTTACTTATAAATAGGTTTGGAGAGTTTGATGAGTCTAAGTTTGTGTATACTGAATATGGAGAATACAGAAAACTTGTGAAGGGAAGTTACACTTTAACTCTGCAAGAGACTTCTGATGTTAAAAGGAAGTTTTCCATGTTGTTCTTGTGACAGTACAACAAAACCTGCATAAATTGTGTATACTGAATATGGAGAATACAAAAAACTTGTAAAGAGAAGTTACATTTTAATTCATGTAAGAGACTTCTGATGTTAGAGGAAGTTTTCAATGTTGTTCTTACAACAGTACAACAAAACCTGCTTTTGCAATTGCCATACTCTCACAAATCATAACCATTACAATTTTCTCAAATGTGATTAGTGCATTAGCTGCTTTATTTTTCAGTGATTATTCTGTTCAGTTGTAGTCAGAAAGTGTAATTAGACTGTTGAACAACCTCTTATCCTGAAAAAAAACCAAAAAAACAGGGAATTCCAAAATGGAGGAAGTTTTTCTGAAATTGTAATGATAACAGGACTAAATGTTGTCCAGTTGTGACAAATCAGACTCCAGCTTCAGAGTTGTCCAATTTTGTAAATCACTCATATGATTACAGACCAAAATGGACTCTACTTGGTCCTATTACCATTACTTATGACTGCTTAACCATTTCACTCCCAATATCTGGCTACTAATACTCCTTACTGTCTGCCATACAATTCTTCTTGTGTCAGTTCTGAGAATTTGGTATTGGATGAACTGATCATTCCCTAAGCTGATATTTTTACTTATTCTCTGCACTCTGTACAAGGTCAGTACAATATCTGTATGATGTTGTACTGACACTGTAAAGATAAATTATGTATTGGTGAACCATGGGAGTTAAAGGGTGTATACAGGATTAAGCAAACAGCTCATTGCCAAACAACAAATTTACAAAGGTGTAAATTGCATACTGGGCCCCAGTTAAACATATCCCCATGGCTAATCAGCAGTTTTTCCTTTATTGTAAGATGATGGAATTGGCACACATATACAGTCAAACCTCGATTATCTGGACTCAGTGGGACTAGGGTAAATAGTCAGGATAATCGAGAGTCCGGATAATCGAAAATATGAATATTAATGAGACAATCGAGTTATGATTGTCTTGTGTGTTTGCATAACCCACGCTCATTGGACTGATCAAGCATGACATTACCTTGGCAACAAAACAATACAGAACCAATCAAAATTCAGCTGAACGCATTAGAATGCTTCTTGTCTCTTTTTGTCTCCGAGCGCTCGATCTTTTGAAAGCGGAGCGTGTAATGCGCTGTTTTAAACACAATTTTCCTGACTTTTAACATAATTTCTGAATTTTTTTACCTCCTAAAGTTTTTAACATCTAAGGTCATTAATATTCATGAAAAAACGGGACCAGAGAAAAAGTCTGGATAATTGAAAAGTCCGGATAATCGATGTCCAGATAATCGAGGTTCGACTGTACCTCATTATGCTATTTTCTTAGTTCAGGTTTGAAGTAACCTAGTGGTTAACTTGGGTATCTGTGTCTGCTTAATTGAAGAGTGCACTTAATATAGAAAACAACAAGTTTACAACACTAACCTCTTCATCCAGATCTTCTTCATCACTAGAAAGGATGAAAATAATTTTTCTATTTAGTACAACCTCAAAATGTTTAATTTCATTGATTTTAGGTCAATTTTGACCACTCTTTTGATAGATGTACTTATAAACTTTGCCATAAATCACTTGCCACAAATTCTAATGACCTGAAAATGATTACAAAACAAACAACACTAACCTACTCTCTTCCATCCTTGGTAACCGTCTTCTCTGTTCTCTGTCACTCTAAGGATGAATAAAACATATTTTAACAAGACAAACATCACAAAAGGTTGTACAATATTGTGTTTGCATCAGCAGTAAACACATACAACATACACTTGTGTTTCATCAAACAAATTCGAGTGAAAATTAAATTAGACTGGCTTACTTCACAGCTATAGATAAATCAACGTACATTTTAAATAGGGAAAAAACAAATCCACTTAGCTTGATCTCATTCAACCCATTTAAATCTACAAAATGCTGTTCTGATAAAGTTACAATTTTTCTCTCAAAGAAAAATTTCAACTTGCCACACCAAATTTCTGCATGGCTAATGGAAACAAATAATTCTTAAACAAAGTGGGATTCACATTTTCTCCTGTGAATTCAATGCCAAATTTACACATTTGCATAGGAAATAAAAGCAACAAAAATTTTACAAGAAAAAGTAATTTGCATACTTGAAAATCTAAGCTGTGGTCATCCAAATAATTTTTTGTTTGAACCTTAGTATGAGACTGGACCACTGCAGTACAATCAACTGAGATGAAAAACATTGTTAGTTTTTAAATTCTAGTAACCTTGGATTAGTCTCCATTTGATCCTGCATAAATGGTACCCACAGAGAGTAGAAACTGCAAAATTATCTTGAAAAACAATATAGAGCTGTAGAAATAAATATTAAAGAATCTGGACCATTTGTCACCATAAGAAAAAAAAAAAAAGTACCTCTTCCCCAGAAGCTTCTTCATCCCCCATGGCAATCACTTCTGGTTCATGAGGACGGCGTCTGTGCCCTTCATCCCTGAAGAAAAGAACTTAAAATCACTCTTTCATTCTCTACAACTGTATATTCTTTTGACAAAGAAAAGAAAACCTAACCCTTGATGGACTGCATTGATACTACTCACACAATGGTTACACTTATGGCAGCCAATTCCCCTGTGAGATGTGTATGTTAATGCAGCTAAGACAAATGATGAACTAGTTACAAGTCTTTGAAGCGAACAAACGTGCTTGAACATTTTAGACCTTCGTAAATACCTGAACTGAGATCTTTTATTTGTAAATACATACAGGTTGTGTAGACTTCACAATTAAAATGTTTCCTTTGCTGTATACCTTTTGTTTACATTTCTATCTCATTAATATTCATATTTTCGATTATCTGGACTCTCGATTATCTGGACTATCTACCAAGGTCCTGACAAGTCTGGATAATCAAGGTTCGACTGTACAAGTGCATCTTTTCTCTTTGAACTATGTATGGTTCTGTTTCCATTGCTCCATTTTTACTTGACTTATTGCATTTCTTCCTATCAAGGTTACATTCCTGCACAGAGTGGATTTCACACAAGCCAAAGTGGTTCAGAAGAAGTATTTGAGAGGATAACTTTGCTCAAATCACAACAATCCCACAATTGGACCCCCTGAGTCAGATACTGCATGTGTAATAGTGAACATAAAAAAGTGAGATTTTTTGGGTGTTCAGACATTGGGAGGCATAACAATAATCATGAGGGTTGCCCCTTTCCCCTCATTTAGATGGAGTAAAACAACAATCAATCAAAGGTGATTACCCAAGCATTTGAAAGAAACAACATAAATAACTCAATATCTTTTTTTTTAATTTGTCACCTTATAAGGGAAAGATAATCCGTGTGGTAAAAAAAAAAAACATGGGACAACCATCATAATTTTAATTAATAATGGTAATGGGACTGTGTATAATCAAATTTGTTCTATTAAGACACAAGTGATTGACAAAATAGGATGACTGCCAAGTGGGAATCTGACTTGTCAATCACAAGTATGATTACAGACAGAAATGGACTACACCAAGTCCTGCTACCAATTAATCATAACCATTTCAATTGAAAAAAAGGGCTTACGTGATAAATGTGATTACATTGTCCGATTATAACTCTAAAAATAATTAGAATAATTGGTGAAAGATAAAGCGGCTAATCCACCGATTACATTAAACTATAACAGTTATGATTAATACACTAATCTCCATGTCTGATCAGTAATCATCCCTTTCAGATGGCAAGTTCATCATGTAGGGTTATGGTAACACTAGCACAACTTACATTTCCTCATCTTCATCTTTCACTCTTTCCTGCAGTCTCCGCAACCTCCTGTCAGTCTTTTCTGCCTTCTGGAAAACCTTGACAATTTACATAGAAAATAATATAGAATCATATCACATACACCTTCCAGGACAAACATACAGATTCATTTTAGTAGATGCTAGGACATAACAAACGAAAAAGTGTTGCGGAAAATTTGTTTTGTTAGAAATCGAAACTTTTTGCAAAAATCTCAGAGGTCTGATTTTTTAAACTTTGTCCTTGTGCCATGTTTTCCATAATCCAACTAGTCTGAATCTTTGTGGATATTGCAGTGATAAAATTAGTAACATCAAATCTACTTGGAAGGAGTCCACATGTGTTTCCTAAAGACACCTGTTACTGTGATTTATTGCCTAGAAGGTCCCAGGCTTTAATCAAAAGCATCGAGGAAAGAACTATTTTGAAAATTACCTCAAGGTGTAGTACCACAAATGCACATATACGTCACAATCACTTTTAATGATAGCTTATTATTTAAAATTTTCTTTGCCAGAGCATTGGTTCATCACCAACTGAGTCAAGGCTCCATCACAATATCATCCTGTTTTCTCCATGACCAGACAAGAACAGACAACAGATTCAAAGATTACCCCTTTAATTGCCTATTGGTGAAGAATAACGCAACATCCAATCACTTGTTCTGTGATGTTTCCACAACAAATTCATTACAAATAGTTATCATCACTTTGTTAGGCATTGTGGCACATTTTGTAGGCTTAAATGCAGCTTTTGGTAGTCTGAAACATATTTTAGCCTGTCATGTGATTGTCCAAACTGTTTTATTGTCACATTTTCCAGTTTTCATTTCTTGGTGCCCTCAAAAATGACAATAATGCTGTAGAGTTTATTTTCATGGCCTTAAGTTTGTTTTAGGCCAAATTTGGGCACTCAGTTTGGCCCAAAACATATTTGCATGTATGCCCATGAACGTAAATTCTATCGAAGTCGTGATAAGATTTCTTTGGAAAATCGTCAAAGACATATACTACCACCTACTTTGTCAATTTCTTGTTCATCGAGCTCTCGTTCTTTGACAAAAGGCTCTCCCAATAGTCCATCGTCTTCATCTTCTTCATCGCTAGAATACTTAGCATATTCAGGCCTAAAATCGAACAAAACGGAATTTTAGTATACGGTAAATGTAACAACAGCAGACTCGAAGAAGGCATGCAAATCTACTAACAATACGTTATTTACGGTTTACATGTCGTTGCCAAATGTAGAATGAAATATCTCACCGTTTACCGGCCACATATCTGCTGACTTTTACCTTCTTCATCGTTAACTCTCCTATGAAAACCCAAAATGTGTCATTTTTCGTTAAATAAGTAGTTAACTTTCAGTCTAAATTCTCATTGTGTTGGACAAACGTGTGTCGACAAACCTTTTTCATTTTTCACAGGCACAGCTCCTGCTGTACAGTTAATAGGGGCACCTCTTGGATCCATTCTGAGGTCCTGAGATCAACAATCCACGGACAGTTGATAACAATAAGGTCTACACTCCTGTCAGAGTGTTCAAATTTACTTCCAGAGGGTTTCTTTAGTGATGGCGAGAGAGGAGTCAAATGCGACCAGCGAACCGTCCAGCGGGCTTACTCAACGCATGCGTACGCATTTTTCGAAGAATCAGACATACCCTTCTAAGCCCGCTGACATAAAGATTGGCATTATTCTCGTCCCCAGAGCCACTCGATTTCAAGTGACTCGTTGTCACCCAATCGTTCTTGTGTTCGTTGCTGTTCGTTCCAGGTTACTCTTACCACGTGAGCAAAAGAAACTTATATTGATCGATTAGCCGTGGAGCTGTTGGTCAAACCGAGCTGAGCTGCGGAACGTCTGCGAGTTTGTGCTCGAGCTCTTGAGGAGGTGATGAGGTGATGGAGGCTTTTTTAATGGCAGTAAGTGAACCATCTCTCCTTCAGTCGCTTTGATGTTTTTTTCATTCAGTGTAATCTTAAACTGGTTCGGAAGATGCAAAAACGCCTAAACTGTGAGGAAGAATAGCCACCTTAAAGGGTAAAAAAGCTGACGTTTCGAGCGTTAGCCCTTCGTCGGAGTGATTGACGAAGGGCTAACGCTTACCCTTTACGATGGCTAATTTACGTTTTCAACTCAGTTGTCAACACTAAATTACCTGCTATACTCTCCCACCGACGCAGCACCACAGTTTCTTTAGAAACTTACCCCTTCATTCATGTGAAGAAGAATGTTCGGTAGTGCATGAGCGATGCAGCAGTTCATCTGCAGTCGGAATATACATTTTCTCCTCGAGTTTCTGGTGCTCTCTATCTCAGGCTGTGTGTGCTTAGTTGTAGCAGTTTTGCTTTACGGGCATCTCGATCGATCGAATTATTTTGTGACTGGTATGAGCACCTTTGACATCTTCAGGACAACGCCGCCATTTTGCCTCTAGGGCGCGCGAGTACGTGGTCAAATATTACACTCGCAATTGGGGTTATTGCAACAACCAGCGATTGAAAGAAGGTGTAGTAACTAGTGAAACCAAATCTATATCAAATGATCTATTTTTTTAGAAAATGTTTCTACTAATTGAATCTGAATACAGTATGTACAATTTTTTTTCTTACTCCTGGCAAGGAAGCTCATTTGAAAACCAGAGGTCCCTCACACCATGAGCTTCTCTCCCCCCCAACTAAGAATGAAAGTACAGTTTTAATGGGTGGACTGTTCTTATTGGAACATAACTTAGATGAAAGGACCTTAGAGAGAAAAAGCCAATAAATAATGAAATAAAATTAGGAAATGCATTAAAATACTATCACATGCATACAAACACCAGCAATGTAACAGGTTTGCTTGGAATCCAGAGCAAACATCATAACAAAATTTAACAGAAATCTATCGACTCAAATATGCATTTGAATTGATATCAGTTTCCCTCAGACTTGAGCCTTGGTTTTTTGAAATCTTTCCCATCCAAGGAGGGGGAGACGGGGTGTAATACTACACCATCTGCGTAAGGCAAGGGAACCAAAATCAATGTAAAGAGATATATTGATTGAAATTTGAAGTATCCACAGCAGTATGGTTCTTGAAACAGTCTAAACAGATGCATTTACTGCAAAGTTCGGAAGCCATCTGGCACCATGTCTCTTTACTTTGTTTTTAACAGAGCTCACAGCGACCTTTTCAATAAGTAATTTTACAAGATTGAGGTGGAAAGCGGGTTGGGTTGTTGACTGGTGATGTGGGCACAGTTTCACCAAAATATTTGCAGTTATAACTGCAACATCCACAAAGAACTATGCATGGCAACACCTTGAATTTCTTCTAGCCATGGAAGTCACGCATTTAATCTTGTAAGTCCACACTGCCCATGTTGTTGTTGTAGGTCTTCACAACAAGAGCACTGGGAACTTGAATTACCATTCCATCACCATCTACCAACAGTGTCATTCTCCACAGAATCTGATTGAGAGCTCAGCGAATAGATGGGCTTCTTATCCTTCCACACAGTGACATCAATGTTTGCTTTGCAAAGGAACAACAACTCAGCTTGACTAAATTGCTCGACTCTTTGGGCCGATTATTTAAGTGAAGTTTAGACAACATTTATGAAAGTTACCGTCTAAACCGTGTTTAAACCATGAGTACTGATTATTTTAACATTGTTTTTCCATAACAGTGTTTAGACAATGTCTAAACACCGACTAAAGAACAATAGTAAGTTAGACCTGGTCAAAGGTAGGTTTAAACTCTGTTTAACGATGTTTTCATGGTCAGCCATTTTGAAATGGAGGGACCTATGCGCTACAAACAGTTAAGAAACTACGCCAATTGACGTAATACACATGTTCGACAAGTTCAGCACTGTAGGGATAGATTTAACCCATTAGAGGAATACAACGACAAAGCCTTTTTTGATTGCGTTTTCACCTTAGGAAGGACTTGGTCAGTGACCTTGTAAAAATTTTGGCTAAAGATCTTGAACGTCAAACAAGGAGAGGTCTGCTGCTTACACCAATGCAACAAGTGCTAATTGCTTTAAGATTTTATGCAATAGGAACTTTTCAGAGGGTTATTGGCGATTTGTTTGGTGTTTCTGTATTTGCTGCATGCAGAGTAATCCACAAGGTTTCCAGGGCTATTGCGAAGCAAAAACGACAACTCCTGTCAATCCCAGGGAACCTGGCTGATGTCAAGAGGAAGTTTTATGATGTTGGACGCTTTCCAGGTGTTATTGGGGCCATCAATTGTACCCATGTCAGGGTCATATGTCCAAACAAAGAAAATGCCATGGCATTTGTTAACCACAAGCAATTTTACTCCATCAACGTCCAAGCCGTTTGTGATAGCGATGCCTTTATTACTAATATCGTAGCCCACTGGCCTGGATCTACTCACGACTCGCTATGCTTGTCAAGCATATTTATTGACACCAATCCTCAAGCCAAAGAATGCAGGAGAAGTATGCTACAATACTGCACATAGGCGTACTAGGTGTGTTATTGAGAGATGCTTTGGATTGCTAAAGCAATGTTTTCCCTGTCTGCATGTAGGACTGTGCACCGCCTTACTGAATACCTTCATCATTATTGTGGCCACTGCAGTGCTGCATAATTTCGCCCTTATACACCGAGAGCAAGACTTTGACGAAGACATTGAAGATGAAAATGTCCCATTTGACATTGTTGCTTTGGGAAGCTGTTTTATCCCAAAGGTACATTCAGTTCCAATACGTTCACTTCCGCATTGGTTTCACACCCTGTAGGGTCTGGTTTTGTTTCCATTGCTTGCTGTGCATAGTGTTATGTTTCCTCTGTAATTCTGTCAAGATTGTTGTCCTTAAACATAAAGTTAATTAAGTTGAATATCTTTGAATGTCCCTGACCAGGCTGGTATTCATAACAAACAGACTCACAACAACTTCCTCTTCATCTTCCTTGCCAGTTTCCTGATTGTTAAGATCAAAATCTAGCAAATCCTTTCTGTCACCTGGCAAACCAGAAATGTTAGATTCGGTCTTGTGATTCTCTGAAACTCAGGTTCAATAGTGCAGCCAAAAACCTCTTCCTCCTGGCCATCTGAATCGCAAAATGCTGCTATTACTTGAACTACAGACACAAATTCAACTTGTGTTATCTCAATGAATTCATATAAACACTACCTCAGAAAGTTAGCTTGAAGAAGGCCACTACTCTAACCCTATTGGTTAATGCACAATATACCAGAAGAAACAATGCAAATAAGCATTTTATATTGGTTAGAATTGACCATTGTTTAGAGTGCCATATGGCATGCTTTGAATTAGAGGGGTTGTACACTTAAGTGCCATAAGGCATTGTTGGACAGGAAAGGGATAAGCATGGTATCCTTCCTAATCTTTTGACCAGTGAGGGTTCTCACTATATCTAAATTATGGATAAATTATTGATAATTGAAATAATTATAACAGGTTTGAAGGACATTGTATCATGCATCTTGTAGGTCACAATGAAATGTTTAGAAAAGATTCATATAAAAAATTTTAAGAAAATAAACTTGACTTAAAATCATAATTATTATGGCAATGAAATTGTGTATTCAAAGATGATTTACAAACTGGAATAGTTGATAAGTAGAGGAAATCATGGGTTCCCCATACTTGACTAGTTGATCATCTTCCATGCATCTGTGGTTAAAAATCTCTAGATAACAATCAGGTCAGAATCTAATGATTTTCCTGATGGATGGTCCTCATCAAGCACAATATTTTCCTTTGAATGGACTAGAGATGGTTGCAGCCCACTCAATATCAAACCAGTGAAGCATGTAATCACAGTCTGGATCTGCACTGGATTGCAAGTACATTTGAATATCAATTTAAAGAATATGTTTTGATGGAACCATTTTTTGATTTTGTAAATTCACAGGAGGAGGAATGTGCAAATGTCTTGTACATTGTACCTCCTTTACCATAAGCTGGTTTTGTTTACAGCATAGCCATAGACAAGCAAAGCCCAAATGGAGTAAAGGAAAAAACTGTCTTTTTCATGTAATATAATCCTTAATTTATCTTAATTATTAACCATCTTCAGAGCACTGCAGTTCACCCTCAATATTCTTGAATATCAATTCTACCTCTTCCTATCTTGGCTTCCTGTTGCACATGTTGTTACCACATTTTCTTGGTGAGTTACAAGATATGCTGAGTTTCAATGTTCTTGTTAGCAAGGGCTGAAGATGCAACTATTATCTTTTTGAGGGGTTGTTGGTCTCCACTGGAACTAAAATGTTCAAATGCTGGCTGCCTATCCTACAACATCTGGTCTTTATTGCTTAACTGAAAGAGATGGGTTAATTCTCAGCTGGGAATGTCCAGAGCTAGCTGTTTTTCTGCAGTTGTGTAATTTACCTACCAGGTTTTCTGCAAGTTTGACTCTTAAGGTGAGTTATGTTCTACACAGATGGTTTATGGCCTTGTTCAGCAAGATAAATAATTGGCATTGCCTGCATTTAAATGAGAGCAAAACAAATGGTGCTACTTCCTATTGTGTAGAATGAACTACAGCAATCATTTGTTCAAGATTTTTTCACACTGATATTTAGGTGCAGATATTTCAATAATTTGTTGAAGAAATGTCTTGACATTACATTTTGAACTTCAGGGGTGCCAGTGGGTGGATCTCTGCTCTAGTAAAAGCAAGTTACAGTCAACTGTATGATGCATAAGAGCATGTGAAGCCACATGGCACTTGGGAAAGTTTCAAGGTCTCATTCAGTGTTGTAAATTCTGAAGCAAGGTGCTGCACTAAAGCCTGGCTTGTGTGCAAAATTCCTTCCTGGATTGTCATGTACCCATTGCCCTAACCCTAAGCCATTGCACAGGACAGGGGGTGTTGTGCACTGTAGTGTGGATAGTGTCAACCACAGTATAACAATCAACAGAAGTTGGCTCAACAGTATTTAATGTGATGGTCAACTTGTCTGAATATTCACAAGGGGTGAAAACTTAAAGGTAAAATTACAATGCACCAGATAAAAAAGGGCCAAGACTAATTACAAAAGAAGCGAAATTGAAAGTAAGACGAAACTAATTTCAATAGGCTGCAACTTACTTCTGATCCTGCCTTTAAGAGGTTAAAGAAACTCTGTCATTGCATAACTTGAACAAATGAAACTTCTGTAAAAACTCCAATTGAGCCCTTTTGATCTCCTAACTTATAACTTTTTCAACACTTAAAGGGCATACTATATTAACGTTACTAATTGTGGACTGTTTTATACTGGAGTTGCAAGGTATGTAAGTGATTCAAGCTGTGAACAGTGGTATCTGAAAATAGGTGCATACATCAACAATGAAATAAAACAGAACTGTATATACTTTAAATTCACAATGAAGGAAATTATATAATCAATTTCCTCTTTTTAAATGTTCATTATATTGGTATCTGCTCTCTTCCCCTTTTTCTGTTGCTGGTGCACACAAGTCATCTCTTCTGAGGATACTGCTGCCCCTGTGTTGGTGGCATGAGCTCCGGAAGGTGACAACCAGAGAAACTAATTATTTCTTCCTCTTTTTTATTGAAACATGTTTTCATTCCCTCCCTGATACTCTTCCTTTTTGAAGGTGGGCTTTGCAGTTGTGGCTCCTAACAGCATTTGTGGAAACTATAGGAATAACTCTAAACCAATCGAGGCTAAGGAGGGCACTAGTTGCCCACAAATACAGGATTTACCTTGGGGAACTAGGAGGCAACTACTGTTACATAACAGAATTTAGCTAAGAGAACTGTGTGGGAATGAATGATCAACACATGCCAAAATAAGGTGTGTCGGGAAGCAAAACTAATGTAGGAAGTAACTGTAATAGTAGTTGTACTAATCGTTGTAGTAGTAGTAGTAGAAGTAGCAGCAGCAGCTGCAGTTGTAGTAATAGAATCATTGCAACAGAAGGTAAAAATAGAAAAAATTAGATCCAAAATAAAGTAGTGACTTGGTCACATTCCCCCCTACTTTTGCTTGCTATGTCCTCATGTAAGTAGAGTAAAACAAAACAGATCAATGCTCCCTTAAAAAGAACATCAATACAGGTAATTAAACTGTACAGTTATTTCTTGATTGTCTGAGACTCACAGTAGGGGCAGGGTGGATCTCTGTGGCTCTGCAATTGGAATTGGCATAGGGTTCTGAGGAGTTCACCAGAACTTCACCAAGTGGAATTCTGTTGATCCTTAGAGGAAGCTCTCAAACTCTTGATAGAAAGTGGGGTAGTGACTTCTGCCAGGGTTTGGAACTTGCTGTTCAGAATGGTTAACTGCTTTTATAGGTCTTTGACCATTGACTGGTTCAATTTGATAAACTTTGTCCTGGCATTGTCTTCTCCACAATATGGTTCCATTGGTTCAAGTTGCTATGCTTTATGTGTTTGAGGTTTTATTTCTCTTGCTGAAAGTGTACAACCAATGCGACAGAAATGTATAAATACTTAGTGTTAGGGTCCATCACTTAGAACTAAAATAATTGTTTCCTGTTGTGTTGTTTAAATCCTCAAAAAAAACAGCTTTTTATGAGGTCAATCCCACACAAAATCCTTCTTGAATTCTCTTTGGAAATGAAAAAGTACATGTATTGACAAAAACTCAAGTAGAGGGAGGGAAAACATAGTGATTGTATTAGCTTTTAAATGATCATACAATTCACACCCAGATTTTTTCAGCTTAGTAATCTTTGAACCTTGCCATCAGGAGTCTTAAAATCTCAGTCTTCTTCAAGGGACAGAAGGGCCATTTCACCACCTCTTCACTATACATTTGGGAATATCTGAGATGGTTCACTGCACCTTTCACAGACTTAACCATTCTTCCATTTGGCTTACATAAGTTAGCAACCAAACCAAGGAATACAAACTTGATTCTGAGATTAGTTTTTCCAAAGACATTGTCCTTTTTTGCTCATTAATTATTACAGTGACATTGTGTCATGGCACTACAACAGCATTAAGCTGAAGAAAAGTTACATCTTAACTGGTAAATTGGATGGGTATGATTCATTTTTTGTGGTTTACTTGTTTAATAAGTTTATTCACTATTAACTTTCTGTTTGAATACCTATGGTAAGAAGATTTCCTGTCAATCTTGTTTAAGATAAATTCTCTTTTCTTTTGCCTTTGAAATGCAGTTCCAGTACTTCAGTTCCATAAAATGATGTTCCCTGTTCTTGGTTACTATTTTTTCACTAAAATGCAGGATTGTAATCTGTAGGCTGAGAATACCATTTCTCAACAGATTTTGGACATAAGAAAAATACTGAAGAAATCACAAGTGGCATTATCTTTCACTGTTTGAAATATTTTGCCTGTCAGATGCTTTCCTATCATTCCATATGTCATCATTCTCTTTTATGGAAAGTTTATGAACATTGGGGTTTACGCATAACTTTTCACATTGGGATGAGGTTGTTATGCACTTCTTCTGTGTGTGGCATTTGTTTTCTATGGTAGTTGTAAGTGATAGAGTGGCAGGGTCATCAGAAGTTGTAGCTGTTTAGGACTCTGCCGTCGGGAATGATGCTGGTTAGTGCTACTGAGGTGACGAGCTTTTGTTGAGCATTATTACTAGTCATCTCCTATACACAACTTTCATAATGGCTGATAGCACTTAAACATGAAATTGAGGTCAGAAAGGTTACCCATGAGGATAACAACTGTAAGCAAAAGGTTAAGTTAGGCTAAAAAGGCTAGCTGTTTTGACTTGATTCTTTCAAATTATAATCAAGAAGAGGAAATGCTGACTCATTTTTGTGTTCCAGAACGTACAAAGATAGAATTAAAACTTGAGAATTAAGAGAGGAAATCAATTGACAGAACTAAAGTAAATCCCAAGACATTCTTGTGAGATTGATCTGATAGCTTCTAGAAAGGCACGAACTTACATGAACAATGACAAAGTGAATTACTGGCCAAGCCACTATGGTAATTTGAACAATGCATATTGCCAAACCTTGTTTTGAAAGAAAAGACACTGGAAAGTAATTTCTGGGAATAGCAGAATGTCACATACTCACAGAATTTTAACATAGAGGATAGAGTATGAATACTCTAACTGCTAAAATTATGTTATTCTCCCCCTCTCTACGTATTAATTTTTTCTTGTTATGAAAGGAAACTTTTTGTTGCAGTATTTAGTTAACTATTTTGTTGATAAACTTGGGTGTTTAATTTGTGCACAAGCACCAGGGTTTGTGTTTGAGCTTGTGCTAAATATTGGTAACCTTGGATGAAGTATGGTATAATTGTACAACCTCTTTAATAATACAGGTTGTTAATTGGCATGATATGTGTCATGCACAAAACACAGTCTCCGACACTTCTAGAGTCTTCAACAGTGAAGAAGGGAAGAAAGGCAGGTGCCATATGTTCATGTACTTGTGTGAGCTCAAGATCACAAGATCATAAGACCACCATTAGGCAGCTCAATTGGAGAATGAACTCATTTGAGCCAATTGAAATAGTTCATCAAAAGTAATTTTACAATTGTAATTCAAAGCAGACACAGAATAGTTAGGCAATGGTGCTTCTTTGGTCCGACAAGTAATTATTATTCATGATTAAAAGGATATTCCATTGATGAGTTTGGCAAACAGGTTAGGTACCAAAGTGTATTCTCATCTGAAAAATGGGAATAAAAAGTTTGATTTCTTGGTTGATCTTAACAGTATGAGTGATCTGTTTTTTTTCGTTGATGGGCACTCTATTCAGTCAATGCACCTCAATTCATCAAGTTGAAATTGGCAATACTTCCACTCTCTTAGTGACACTCTAAATGCTGTGGCATTAACAGTTGCAACCTGTAAACAGTAAATAAACATCCATGTTTCCTTTGTTACACTGTATAACAGTAGAGTAAGTAATACCAGTACCAACACCATATTGTAACAGTGTTGTTTGGCTCAATTAAACAGCGTCTCTCTACACCACAAAGGCATTTAAATTAATTGTTGTAGCAGTGCTAATGAATATAAAATGTACAAAAATGATAATATTTGTTCATAACCTGATCTCTTTAAAAAACTTCCAAATGAGAGTTTGATGTTAAAGGGCTGTCCTGTGATAAAGATACTCGCACATCCTTTATGCTTTGAAAAGAGATCAATTGACCTCAGTAGTGCACCTTCAGTCAGTCCAGGTAGCTGCTTCTGACAATTGTCCTAGAATAAAGAAAGTCAAAGACATTAGTCTTATTTGGTTATTGCACATTGCACCATAGAAATATTTGATATAAAATTATTTTTTTACATTCCATGCATTCATATTATGGGAATGTGTTATGAAAATACGTGTGTCAGTCAGTACCTTGAAGGGAGACATCAATGCAGTGAGTTAGTAGAATACTGTCTGGCTCACACTATCTGCCACCCATAGTGCAACAAAGTTCATTAAGAGGTAGGCTTCTCGCCAGAAAAGAAGGTATATATATATGTGTAAATATACATATATACAAATTCATACATACATACATACATACATACATACATACATACAGACATACAGACAGACAGATATTATATATAGATATATATATATAGATATAGATAGATATAATATAAAGGAACTGTAAATATGTATATATATGAATATATGATTAGTTGCACAATCATGCCTACATTTTGTGTTACATAGGGTCAAAACACATAACACTTAATTTTTACCCTTTGTTTAGTTTAATTATTGAGAAGCAAACAGCGATTAACATTTCTGTTTGGAAAATAAAAATATTAAAAAAATTCAGCCAATCATAGCAAATCTTAATATTACCCATAATGCTTTGTGGGTGTGGCAAGTTTTGTACATTTGAGTTCAAGATGTATGTAGCAATGAATTAAGTAAAAAATGCGCCAAAATGGTTCTAAATCACAGAGAAGCAATTATTTCTTCATTTTCTCTCAGAGAAAGTTTAGAAAAATGTTTCTTTTTTTTTCTGTCAGATCACCACAAATGTGGCAGACTGGCAGTGTAAACAGCTGCAGTGTGCTTCTCATCAAGTTTAAATGTCATATCATTAATGTTCCTCTCAGGTAAAGTGTCCCTTGAGAACCTGCTGGCCCCTTAACGCATTAAACTCATAGTTATCAGTAAATTTGCTTTCAAGCTCCCCATCAGATGTGACCTTTAAAAGGTAGAAGTCATACATTGGATCATGTAGTGGCAATAGTACTTCCATTTGCTGCTATGTCAGCTAAGTGAGATGCTGTGTCATGGTCAAGGGTATTCTCTCTGGCTTGCTTGGTTGTTGCCACTGAGCCATCTGTAGCAATGCTAACCTCTTTCCAATCATTCATCAATGCCTTGTTTGCACAATGAGCCTCCCTACTCATAATGCAATTAATGCACTAGCAGGAAAGGTGTTGGACCAACACTTTTTCTTGCAGGGCTGAAGACTTAACACGATGCCATTGCCTGATTCCCTTTATCTTTTTAAATTTTCTTCCATCTCTGTTTCTAGAAACAGCCTCTTCCCCTTCAGATGGTACATAGAAGAAGACTGCTTTAAGTGAGCTGCATTTGAAGCAGGCTATATGAAGTTGACTTCCAGGTATTCATGCATGGCCTTAGCACTCTTGATGGTGTCAGTCCTGTTGAGAACTACTTGGCTGATCTTTTTTTTTATATGTGAGTGAGCTGCATCTTGCTCTCCTTTTTCATGAGAGGTTTCAAAGTAATTTGTATTGTTTTTTACCAATACATTTCTTCACAAAGTCTTTCTTGTCTCCTGTTGGCCCGCTAGCTGAACTTGGCCAGTCATTGAAAACTTTTTTCCTTATCTTCCTCGGAAAGAGCATCTTTGGGAACTTTGCGCTTTATGTACAGCCAGGTTTCTTTGTCGCTTTTTAAGATTTCTTTTCGTTTCTTTATGGGTTTACTTATACTTCGTTCATTGAGGTTGACCAAACTCCTCAAGGACTTTTGGCTCTAGATTTCTTGACATTATCTCCAAATGCAAGAGATTTAAAAGCTCCAAATGTGGCTCTTTTTCATTTGACCCAGTGCATTTTATTACCATGAGTCCTGCTGATATGTCTGATGCAAGAGCCTTTAGACTTGCAACTTTTCTTTCCTCTTCTGGGGTTTCAAGAGCCCATGTATGAGGAGTATTTTTCTAGTTCTGGGACTGCCTGCCAGATTTTCAATGACATCAGCTTTTTTGCAAGGCATAGCAGGAAGTTTACCTTTCACTTTATAGGTAACATGTTTTTTTGCAGTCCGATTTTGAAATCCTCAGCCCACATCGTTGTGGTATCGAGAGTATCAGTCTCGAATAGAGCTAAAGTAAAATGAACCACAACGCCCTGCTTGTAGTAAAAACCTTGCTTTTTTTTTTTTAATAATAATCTCTCTCTCTAGTCACGTGATCCAACATGATTGACGTACGACATTACATCCCTCCCTTTTTTCGGATGAAAAGAACACAAGGTGACTAACTGTATTTTAAGTGATAAACGTCCTAAAATTCTAAACAAAACAATGTACATCGTTTTGTAATCAAAGTTCAATAATCAACATTCAAACTGAATTTAAACTGAGATCTCTTTTCCTTCAAACACTTCATATTATGTCAACGTTCTCAGAGAATCAGAAAAGTTCCTTTTCCAGCCTATTTCTCGTAGACGATTTGTACATAGTCTGAAAACCTGACAGGAGGTTTGATCTGTCGTTTCGATCGTCTCGGCAAGGCGTCAGCTTTCATTTTGGATGGACATTGTGTCTTTTCTTCATCTTTCCTTCCACCATTCTCTTGGCAGGGTGCAAGATGTTTGAATAACTTTGAACTGCGATGAATTCCTCGTAACAGTGTGTGAACCATCACTCGCTGTGACCATGGTGCCTTTCTGTTCCTCCACGATGAATGGTTTTGGATTGTATGGAGTGCTGAGCTTGTTTTGTTTGGGTTGTCTAATGAGTACAACTTCTCCTGGCTTAATCTCTCGTTCTTGAGCATGCGCTTTGAGGTCAGCATAGACCTTCATTTTCTGCTTTTGCAGAGCATCTCTCTAGGGCGACGCTAGCGGATGGATCTTGAAGTGTATATCGCGGCAGCTTGTGTTGGGTGATTGGTGACTCTGGTAGTGTGGTCTTGAGTTTTCTGCTGTTTAAGGCTTCACTTGGAGACACATTGATGGTGGAGAGGGGTGTTGCACGATATTGCCGTAAGAACTTGTACAACTCTTGCTTCCAATTTTTGCCTTCTAGGTGAGCAATTCTGATAGACTTTTGGAGGGTCTGAACCAGTCGTTCCGCTTCTCCATTTGCTCTTGGCCAATACGGGGTTATCCTTCTATGCTTGAATCCTAAGTAGTCAGAAAAGTTCTTAAATAGGCCTTATTCGTATTCCCGGACGGCCTTGGGCGAGTGCACGATGTCGAGGCTCATGCGGGGGAATCTGTGATTTCAATATGGCTTTCGTAGGAGGGGCAGAGAGTGAAGTTCAAAAATGGAAAGTTCCTGAGTTGAAATCGTATTTACAGAGCCGTGGAATAACTGTTTCGCAAAAGAGAAAGGAGGAACTAGTAGAATTGGTGGAGAAGGCTCGCGATCTTTCACTGGAACCGATAGACGATTGGGAGAAACCGGAGGATGTGATAGTCAACAAGTTGCAGACGAAAAGAAGGTTCGCTCCCCTGTCCTAACACGTTACACTCTGACTGGACTTCCGACTTTTCTGATTTTCCGAACTTCACATACGGTGATATGTACGCTTACTTAATCAATAAGGAGGGTTATGACCACGAGTCTCTCAAGGCATATAAGTCGTTCGAAGGCTACCGCCTGTTCTGGGATGGCCATGTGTTAAAATTGATGAAGAACAAGAACTTGTTCAATGGATACCACTACGTTAAATTTGGAGTAAAAAGCCAACGGAACGAGAAAAAAACGCAAGTCGGACAGAAACCAACTTACGATGGATGGATAATAATTCAGTCAGATGGATCAGTTTACACAGCGCATTGCCCTTGTATAGGAGGGTGTGTATTCTGCTGCCTCGGCTAATATTTGGCCATCTTAAAAATGAATTTGATTTATGTATGTGTTAAATGATAAATCCAGATTGATCTGTTCAACTGACACAATGTTGAAGTGTTAATGAAAATAATAATTTGCAGCTTTGCGAAATTTTGTACTTCGTTTCCAAATTGTTGAAGACATCTTTATACTATGCCCAAGTGTATGTGATCTCTATGGCTTTCAGAATAATTTCCTTTTATCTAGTATTCAAAACTTTGACTCTGGTCATCACAATATATCTGTTGAAACTTTTCTTAATTCCTAATTTCTTGATCAGGGCTGATGGTGCTTGCCGGCACATTGGTGCCTCGCTTATTGACCTTGAAGCTACACTGAGAGAAAATGTTGTAATAACTTGCACAGGGAGAAAGTGCACTTGGAAACAACGGAAGAGGACTCATGAGGGCATGACAAAAGGATCAGCCATGGATTTTACAAAACCCACACTGAACAAAGAGAAAAAGAAGCGACTAAAACCAAGGTGTGATACTTATGACCCCAGAACTTCATATGATACGAATGTAAATTTGGCTGAGAATTTTAGAAAGCTTGTTGCTGAAACTGTTCCTTCAGCTGTATTACTGCATCTGTTACCTGACCCAGACACATGTAATGGTCAACATCCTCAACTTGATTCAGAAAATGTAAATGACATAAGAGAGGAAAATTCAATTGTTACTACATTTACATTAGATTCTTTATCACCAATGAAACCTTTGCCACCCAGTCTGGATGAGATTAAAGAAAGGGGCAAGGCAATAAAAAGAAAACTTCAGTTTACAGATGATGAAATTGATGCAGTGGAAAAAAACAAAACTGCAGAGTGATGCCATTGACTGGTTTCAGTACAGAACAGGAAGAATCACCGCTTCTCATTGTAAACGTATTGCAAGCTTGAAATTAACCACATCTCCAACTAAAGCTTTAAAGGAAGTTTTGAGTTACAACCAAGTGCCTTTAACAGCTGCCATGAAGGAGGGCTTGGCAAAGGAGGATGAAATTGAACAGGCACTAATAAAATACATGAAACAGAATGGACATTCTGATATAAAAGTCGAAAAGTGTGGATTTGTCATTAGCAAGACCCATGGACATATTGGTGCCTCTCCAGATAGAATAATATATGATCAGTCTGAGTCTAGCCCAGGTGTGGTTGAGATGAAATTTCTTCAGGTGAAGTCAGGGGAAACCCTTGAAGATATTTTACTGAAACAGCATATTTGTATAAAAAGAAGCAATGGTATAGCCCTTAATAGAAATCATAAATACTTTTATCAACTACATCAACAAATGTTTGCAACAACGTATCCCTGGGGCATATTTGTTGCTTGTGGCAGGGATGGTGGTATTTATGTTGAGAAAGTGTTGTTTGATCAAGAGTTTTGGTCTCCAGTGCTAGTTAAGCTGGATTCATTTTTTGACTTGGTCATTTTACCAGAACTAGCTTTTCCAAAGGTTAAATATGGTCAGAACCGTACAGTGTTATATAGTACAGATAAATAAATATACATATAATGTAGAAACTCAACTTCCAAATATGAACCTTTCGTGACATTGAGCCTATGTAAATGCATAACTATTCCATTTATACCTAGTATAGTAGCTACTGTAAGGGGTTACATGCTCATTGTTTTTTTTTAGTTCGATCAAAAATCATATGATTTATACAGACATAAGAAAATTATTTAGACATTTACTTTGAAACAAGAGGCTTCATTAAGTTACACAGTGCTGCACATACAAACACAGTCTGATCAGCAACTGCAGCAAGGGTGATAGGTATCACACCACGTAAAATTCGGAAACACTTGAGCCGCTGGATTGCTCTTTCCACATGTATGCGAACTGCAGCTATTCTCCTGGTTTTTGTACATGCCTTTGTTGAAAGGGACTTCCCTTTGCAAAGGGGGAATGTTTAATGTGGCCTTTTTCTTTGTGACCATATCTCTAATATTGAATCCTCTATCAGCCATCACATCATCTAGAGGTTCCAGCTTGTCTATCAGTCCAGATTTCTGAGTTATATTTCGGTCAGAGACCCCACCAGACCAAAGTTTAGAGACAAATGTGAAGGCTCCAGTGGGTGAAATACCAACCAAGAGTTTGAAAGTGTTATGTGACTTGTAATCACTCCAAGTAATTTTCTGAGCTGAAGGTTGAGTGGACTTCTCTATAAAAAACTCTGTACAGTCAATAATTACACGGGTCCGAGGATACCTACTAAAGCTCTTAGGCATGTGCTTTTGAATTTGAACCTTTGCAGGCCATATTATAAGAACTTCCTTAAATACATGATACAAAAGATTAATCCAAGTTGTAAAAATCTTGGAAACTGAACTTTGTGAAATTGCAAAAATGTCTGCCAGGTGACTCTGTAACAGTCCAAGCCTGAGTCTTATAAGAACCATTAAAAATTCAGAAAATAATGGCATCTGCCTCTTTGGTCCCGGCTTGTTAACATGTTCATCTTCCTGTAATAAAAGTAAAAACGTGCAGTTGAGTTGCTGAAGCAAAATGTTTAGGCAATTATCACATAGTTGGAAATCATAATAACATAATATATCATGTTATAGACCCTATGCATATATTATCATTTTGTTCATATTTAAAAAAAGCCTCGCTAACGTCGTTTTGAGACAAAATTTGTAAAGAATATGTTATCCCGATCGAGGTTAGTGAGGCTATTTTGAATACGAACAAAAAATTCAAAGGTACCCATTTTTGCATAGGGTCTATATTGCTATTTATACCAAACATGAAACATTTTATGCCATAATGTTCATCAAAACAAATGAAAGGAAATATTAACAAGACTGCTGTGTAAACATTTTATGCCATAATGTTCATCAAAACAAATGAAAGGAAATATTAACAAGACTGCTGTGTAATAATATTAAGATACCTGATACGTTTCCCTCTGTCCCTTTTTCTTGTTGTCCCAATATTTCATTGCATTTGCAAATGGTTTCAGAAAGGGAAACAACATCATAAGACAGGCATAGGAGGGCAATCCAGTGTAGAAACACACGGACTTGTTGCTTTTTTAGGACGCCGTCTATAAACATTTCTCTCTTCAGTTCTGGTTTATTTTCCAGTTTAGCTTTGGCTGCTTCCATGCAGTCGATATCTTCACAGGTAAGGTCGGTTTGGATACACTTGTCTGCAAGGGATCTTGGATCAGGTGTCTGTTCAGTTTTAATCTCACACTCTTCAGAAAAAAATAAAATCCATGTCGCTCGAGCACGCAGTTTCCTGCAGTTGTGATGACAGGCCCAATGGTTCCGGGTTTTCCTTGTTTTTTTTTCAGTTTTACCTGCTTGTCTCCTTGGTGCAGTCTTGGTTTTGTTTTGTATGCAGCTCAAAGCTCCTCGTCTCCTTTCCTCTGGATCTGTTCGCTTCCGTCCGGGTTTTGGGCTGCAAATGAGTCGGAAACTGAAAATTGTTGGGACAGGATTAAGCTTTGAGGGTCCTAAACCACCTTCGAAGTGTGCTGAACAAATTCTTGTATGTCTTGTGACATTTAAACTGCTTAAACGACAAGCAGCTATCCACCTTTTTCTTCTCTCGTTTTTTCATTCATTCCGGTGCGTAAGTCTTCTTTTCGTCGCCGATAGGAAAAGTGTGAAACGTTATTCCTTTGAGTTCTGGATATTTCAGATGGTTTTTGTTTTTTTCAGTGCTGTTGGAGCAGCCATATGCACAGCAGTTATGTTTAACCATGATTTTGCCGTCAAATACTGCGAACCAAAGTGACTTTCTCCGTATTTTTCCAGCTGTGTCAAAGGGTATTTTTCCCCCGCATGAGCCTCGCTTTCGCGCGAAACAAAACACTCGTCCCAGACCAGTCCGGGAATAGGAATAAGGCCTATTCATGACCATTAAACGGTGGACCATTGTCACTTTTCAGGACATCAGGAATACCTTGTCTTGAGAATATTGCATCAAGTTTAGGGATCACAACTCTTGCTGATGTTGAGGTAAGTATTTCTACTTCCGGAAAACGGCTGAATTCATCTGTTACAACCATGATGTAATCACCAGAGGGGAACGGTCCAGCAAAATCCACTGCGACTTCTCTCCAAGGTCCGCTAGGGAGTGGCGTCATTCAAGGGGTTCAATCGGTGGTGACTTGGTCGATGCAGCTTGACATGAAAGACAGCTTTTGACCTTCTCTTCTGTTAGGTTGTCGATTCCGGGAACCACACTTTGTCTCGGATGAGTTGCTTTGTTTTGACAATCCCCTGGTGACCACCATGTGCCAGGTCTACTGCCTTACTTCTGAGAGTAAATGGTATCACAATTCTGTTTCTTCTCAATACTAGTCCATTGAACACTGATAATTCTTCCTTGAGCTTCTTGTATTTCTGTACGTCTGGGACATTCCATTGGCCAGTTTCCACAGCCTTGACGACAGCTTGCATTTCTGCATCATTTCTGGTTTCGTGTTTTATTTCTTGAAAGGTCATTGCTCTTGGTACAGCATTAGAGCATATATAGTTGGCATAATCTTCAGCCAAATTTTGTTCTTCTGGTGCTGTGGGACACGGATGTCGGCTCATGTAATCAGCAGGGTTTTCGGCATCTCTTCCAGGCCGATAGATCAGCTGACAGTCGTAGGGCATGAGTCGAAGTTTCCACCTGTCCATTCTTGGGGAAGTTTGCTTGTGGTTCTTAAAGATGCCTATGAGAGGTTTATGATCAGTAATAACAGAAAACTGGGCACCATAAACATACAGATGAAAATGTTCCACTCCCCATACTACGGCAAGCATATCTCTCTCTGTTTGGGAGTAGCGACTTTCCACATCACTCAAAGCACGGCTTGCATAACTAAAATTTTGCCTTCTTGTATTAACAGTCCACCAAGACCAGTTGGACTCGCATCGACAATGATTTCGGTCTTCTTTCTTGGATCAAAATAGGACATAACTTGATCCCCAGCGAGGGCTTCTTTCAGCTTGTCCAATGCCTTTTGTTCTTCTTGCTCCCATTTCCAAGGGGTGTCCTGTTGGGTCAGCAGGCGCAAAGGGGTCGTGATTGTGGCATAGTCTGGTATGGATCGGGAGACGCGTGCTGTGCCATACCAAGAAAAGACTTCAGTTCACTATGGTTCCGAGGAGATTGTGCCTCGTGGATTGCTTTAACTTTCTTTGGATCAGGTCTAACACCGACAGAGCTGAAAATGTGACCATAGAACTTGATTTCAGTTTTGGAAAACGCACACTTGTCTTTGTTGAGACGGAGGTTATTTTCTTTAAGCCTCTGGAGAACACCACGGAGATTCTTGTTGTGTTCTTCCTGGTCTTTTCCAAATACTATGATGTCATCTGAGATGTTTTTACATCCTGGGAGGCCAGAAAGGAGTTCCCTGATCTTTTCCTGGAAAATTTCGGACGCTGCATTAATTCCAAAAGGCAAACGTTTGTATCTTCTTAGGCCAGCATGTGTACTGAAGGTTGTGACATAACGACTTTCAGGTGATAACTCAAGCTGGTGGTATCCTGAGGACAGATCTAATGTACTGAAAAGCGTTGCACCATTCAAATCAGCAACAAGGTCATCAATGGTTGGCATGAGATGCTTTTCCCGCTTAATTGCTTGGTTTGCCTCACGCATATCAACACAGATTCGAACTTCTCCGGATTTCTTGGGGACGACAACAATTGGACTGATCCAGGGTGTGGGCCCTTCAACTTTCTCGATGATGTCGAGTTTCTCAAGTCTCTCAAGCTCTTTTTCGACATCGTCTCTAACATGAAATGGAATTCGTCTGTGGGGTTGCTGTCGGGGTGTAACATCGGGGTCAATGTGTAACTTCACTTGTTTGTTTGGTACTTTCCTATGCCTCCAAACAGTGATTTGAACTCTTCTTTTAGAGACTCCGGTCGTCTTTGTTTCTTTCAGTGACGGTGGCAGTATTAATAGAAACCGCAATCAGACCTAGTTTCTTTGCAGTGTGATAGCTGAGAAGATTTCCGTTTTCTCCTTTAACAACAGTCAGCTGAGCGGAGGTGCTCGCGTTACTGGATTTCACGGTTGCAGTGAGGATTCCCAGGGTAGGAAGAGGGACTTTAGATCCATATGAATAAATCTTGGTGTGAACAGGCTGCAGGCTTTCACTGCCGTGACTGTTAATTCTTTGAAAGGTTATTTCATCAAGAAGATTAACAGATGCACCCGAGTCGATCGTCATGTTTACGTTTCTTCCATTGATTTGTAGCTGACATATGGGTGGCTTCTTGTTTTCGTGATGGTCGACAGTGTAAACGTACTCATATTCTTCATCAGAGGTTTGACCAGTTTCCACGGAGGCCACGGTACGAGGTTTTGAACGACAAACATGAGCAAAATGGCCAATTTTCCCGCAGGCTTTACAGACTTTTCCTTGCGCAGGACATGGATTTTTGTGAGGTGCGTACCCGCCACATTTGCCACATTTTCTGGGAGAATTGCCTTGCTTGTTTCCAAAACGACGATTGCGTGATTGTGTGTCACGCCAGTATCGTGGGCGGCTTTGCCGATTCTCTTCTTTTCATTTGATTTTGTTGACGGCTTGGAATTCGCCTCCGGTATCTTCTACGTCTTTCGCTTGTTTGTCACTGAGTTCTAATGCTCTTCCTAGATTCAATAAACCTTCTAATGTTGGGTTTTCACGTAGCGCTCGGCGTCTAAGCGAGCTGGAACTGCACGTCAGAATAATATGTTCTTTAATTTCTTTGTCAACATCGCTGAATTCGCAGGTTTTCGCGAGTTGGCGAAGCCTGGTGTGAAAACTATCAAGCGACTCACCCTCTTTCTGCTTCGTCTGGCGAAAATTATATACTTCATATGTGGTGTTGACTTGTGGGGAGAAATATTCGTTAAGTTACGCAACCGCCGTGTCATAGTCGCCGTCTTCGCCAGTGTTTGGTAAGGTGTCGAATATTTCGTCTACGTCGGTGCCGGCATAATGCAGCAACAAAGCCCGTTTCCTTTTCGCAGCTGTGATGTTCATTCCGATAAGCATTCGTTCTAAGCGTCCTAGCCATCTTTTCCATCGTGGACCTGCACTGCCATCGGCATGGACGTCGAACGGTGGAAAACTTGGTAGCGAAACCGCCATGAGGTCTCACAGAGTTGAGCGCGTCGCAAACGGCACGTGCTTTCAAGAAAAATTTACACAGCGAACTCCTCAATGAAAACCGGTGTTGATGTGAATATTGACTGTGGGATTCATGAATTTTAGAATCCTCGTCGCCAGATGTGGTATCGAGAGTATCAGTCTCGAATAGAGCTAAAGTAAAATGAACCACAACGCCCTGCTTGTAGTAAAAACCTTGCTTTTTTTTTTTAAATAATAATCTCTCTCTCTAGTCACGTGATCCAACATGATTGACGTACGACATTACAATCGTGACCTTCAGCATTTAGAGTCTGATCCATTTGCTGCTTTTGTTCTCTGCATTTTCTGACTCTTTCTCTGGTTTGCTCTCTAATTTTCTCTCTTCTTCACTGACTTTCTTTAATGACAGCTTGTCTCCTTTCTTTTGATTGTCTTTGCGTTTAAAACTCTTCAAATTATTTTGCCTGGTTCTTGATGGCCTCTTGGAAAATTCCCACTCTTCTTGAGTTTGTTTCTTGACTCATTCTATTGCTTTTTTCTTTTCTTCTTTTCTTTGCAAGGCTTCCTTTAGTGAAAATGAAAGTGAAAGTGAAATCTGTTCTGAATCTGCTTTCGTTTCAGGTATAATAGAATTTATAACTTGCTTTATGCTTCATGCTTAAATGATTGCATGTGCTGGACATCGACATATAAAAAGGCTATTCAATGCATTGGACCCCCCTATGTCCAGGCAATTGCCTGTACATGTGAGTTAAAAGTGTAGATGTGCAATTGGGGACGATGGGGGAAGGGGAAGCAACTATTTTCTTGCATTCTTTTCTTCAAGTTGGGAGATGCTTCGCACACTTCATGAACATGGGAATTGTAACAAAAGTGTTAGTGTGACCTTGCTGCCAGATTCCTCACTAATTTCACTTTCACCTTCTTGACTTATGTGGCCTGCAGTGGACTGCACTTGTGGCCCAGGACGAAGAGCGTCTCTCTGAATTTGTGGCCAATGCAGGAAAATCATTGGACCTTATGGGATGAACCTTTGATTCGAAAAGTGTGGAAAATTGAAATCGAAATTATGATATGGATGGGCCATTGCAAGCTTATTCCCACGAATATGAACACGAATAGGTACAAGGTACAAGGTTCATTAACCTCATGTCTGACAAGTTTATCAGTTGTTTGACTCTCAGGCGCCATGTGATTGGCCGAAGTCAATTATCAACAAGTTTAAGCGACCTGGTTTGGTGGCTTAAATCTAATGGAAACTTCAATTGAAGTTTGCTGACTCGCTTGACTTTCAGCTAGTTGGACAACCAATTGTTTTCATGAGATTTCTGGTTGTCACTCGCTTAGCAACATGAAAAATCACTCGTGAAAACACGACCTGTGGGCTTCAAAGCTGAAGCAGTTGATGAAGAAGGAGTTTGGTGTGCGTGCATTGTTGAAGAAGTAGACAATGATTACGTGATCATTTCCTCTGATGGCTGGAATGCAGAGTGGAATTGCCGCATCTGTGATCCACGAGAGATAAGGGATTGAACATTGCCTGATTGGAAAATAAAGTGAAGAACCTTTTCCCTTCAGTGAACGATGTCTCCGCTTTAAGAAGACTGACTTTACTTTTAAATATCACCCAAACTTATGTAAAACAAAAAGCAAAAATTACGGTTCGCTTCAATTTCAGGTGTGAATATGCATCATCTTTCATGGATGAAATCTTTATGAATTTCAAAGATCAACACCATTTTTTAGACAACATCTGCTTTCTCCGTATCCACTTAGCAAACAAAGCATTCCAAATTATAGTCAAAACACTAGATATAGTTCACTTCAAATTTCTCAATCGATCCTAGATTCTCCAACTGCATCAAAACAGGTTTTACTACACAGCTTCCATCTAAGACTCCTACTGGAATGTGATGTAAAATACGTCATAGATTGCCAGGTAACAATGCTTAAACATATGTACAAACCCCACTTAAGTGGGGTTGGCAGAATTACACACTTTGTCCATGTTGAAGTCATCATGCTTGCATTTCATCCTTTGTGACTGGAGTCCACTATCATTTGTGTTTGTTTGGCTCTGCCACCACTTGTTGATTGTGGTATCTGTTTGTCTCTGCCACAATCAAGTCCCACATATCATCATTAAACATTTGGTCAAAAACGGCTCCTTCCCTGATTTCAGCACTGCTTGGGTATCTTTGAATTGGCCCAGGAGCTGGCTCAGCAAATGGCCTACCTGCTCCTCTTTCACTACAAAGTATGAAACGTCAAAGGTCTTCCTGAAAACGTCTTCTTGTTCTTTACTCAGTTTGAACTCCAGAGGTCACTGGTTTCCCGTAGGCACTGGGGTGATGGAGTTTGACCCAATTTTCTCTTGTACAAAGCCAGGGCTTCATTATGCAGTGCTGATTTTGCATGATCAATAATATTAGAAAGCTTAAAATTGACTGACCCATCAATGCACGATCTTGAAAAGTTACACCTTTTCTTTATCACTTCAAAGTTGACACAGACAGTGCATTTCAGCATGGAACAAAACTTTCCCTTTTCACATTTATCAACGTCATAAACCAGCCAAATATCTGCCTCAAACATGGCTAAATCATTCTTTCTCCACTTGTCCCACTATGGCACATGTTGTCCTTCTTCCCTTTGTAGTCTCGGACTTATGTGTCTTTCTCGGTGCTTCTGGTTTGGTCTCTGATTTTATGCCATTACAAGTTGAAAGACCGTCATCTTCGGTTAGCTTCCTTTTCTTGCTTTAGTTTGGGCCAAAAAAGCTTGTTATCTTTCCATGTGTTGTGCAGACATGGTCTTTAAATTCTTTTTCCTTGATAGTATCTCCTACTTCTATGAGTGGAATAAAGTGGTTAGGGTGAAACCAAATTCCTCCTGTTGCATCAAGGTTTCCATCCCTGGATCATATTATGAAGACCATTGGCATTGACTTCACTTCACTAATAACCCTCGGTTCTAAGACAACATGTAACAGAATTCATATTGAGGGTGCCATATTTGGATAAAAAAAAAACACTAAAAACACTTTTATGAGTTGCTACTGCAGGCTATAATTTATTCATCACTAGTTTAACTTCATATGCAGATGGTTATCTCCTGGCCATCTGTCATTCGCCCAAACCTTGTTTTACATGAAACATTTTCAGAGTTGACGAAATATGCAAAAACTTAATAAAATCGCTTGGGTTCTTCTTTGCTTTCACTAATGAAAAAAGTTCTGTAATCTTGAGAGAACAAAAAATGGCAGCTAATATTTGCAACATGACTGATTGACAAAAAATGTTTGTTTTTTTCTTGTGCATTCATCTCGCATCTCATTAATGGCAACTAATGCTATTAAAATTATTATGTAATTATTAAATAAAACCTGTTTCTTAAATTATTTGAACAGGCCACTAGTTAGAATTAAACTTAAATGTGGTTTTTTTTGACTAGCCTTTGCCAATGTAAAGGGCATTACTGTGCAAGAATTAAGGGTACATACAGCTGTTTTGACAAAGGTTGTCCAAAGAAAGCATTAAAGTGTACGTGACAATGCCAAAAGGTAGTCTGGGAAACATCCAATAAATTTCAATAAAATCTCGGAGCACTGCCTCAACCATACAGTGAAGACTTGAGATGGCAGGTAATATGGATGAAAGAGTTTTTAAGATACAGCATTGACGAGGTAGCAGCTGCTTTGTTGTCACCAAAAACCATTCTTTTCTACGTATCAAAATTCCTAAATTCTGGTGAAGTGAAAGCAGAGACTTTGGGACAACTGTTAAATAGTTTTCTTATGTATCCACATGTGGAGTTTGTAATAATGCAAGCAGTACTTGACCACTTGGAAAAAACCCTCTCAGAAATTGCACAGAATATCTATGAACAGACAGGGTCAGAACATGCTCTTTCGAGCATATTGCTATTTTTGAAACAACCATTTTGGCCAAAAAAGGTTTGTCAAATATTTCTTGTCAGTGCTACGTTTTGATTTTTCCCTGCTTATGTAAATTTAAGAAAAAACGTGTTTGATTATTATTATTATTATCGTTATAATCACTCATTTTAAAGCAGACAACAATAATACCCTACAAAGATCTGAAGCAGACAGAGTACTTTTTAGGTCTGATGTTTGTCTCCTGGATCCTGAGATGTTGATGTTCTTCGATGAAAAGGGATTTGTATGTGTTTGCTGTCTAACACAACATTTCGTTCTCTGTTTTACTGTTATTTAGCCCTGATCATTTAGTAGTATCACTTTGTTTTTGTTTTTTTAAATTTTATTTTATCAGGACAAAAGACTTAAACGCACAAATGGTTATAGCCTGATCAGTTAAAAAAACTGAGGTGAAACGCATGGCGCAGAACTGGGGACCATGCATAACCGCCATTCCCATTCTTTGTACAGAAAGAATGATTGATTTTGACCTTTATCAGGGGAACGTCAATGGAGCAACATTTGAAGATGGATGTGGATGAAAAGCTATGCCCCAACTTGCTTCCATTTAATGGAATCAATCTGCGATCAGTGGTCATAATGGGTACAAGAGAATCTTTGGCAATATTAGGATTTTGATCAAATTGTAAAATAATTGTTTCCACCCTTGTCGAAATTCTCTGTTAAAAAAAAATCAATATAGATAGCCTGCCTCCATAAATTCATTTCTTCTTTTCTTATTTGTCTTTTAGATAAGGCAGCTATCCACCACATGCAAGCAGCGATTGACACAATGAATGCAACAGGAGCGATTGTTCTTTTTCTTCTGCCCTACAGTTCTGATTTCATGCCATGTGAAGAACTTTTGCACAAGTAAAGAGCTTGATCCGGGAAAACAATGTAGCCTAGCAATTTTGCATGGATCCAGAACTTATGGTTGAAGAAGTGTTTCTTCAAGGCACATATGAAGAAATCAAAAACTACATTCAACATGCAGAGTATTTTTAATGACTTTTTTACAACAATTACTATTCATGTAAATCATGAATTTGGCTTCAATTATAAAGAGCTTAGTTCTGTCAACAGCTTTTCCTTTTGTGAGGAAAATTTGTCTTCGTAAAGAACACCATCGTCTTTCAAACTCTTGAGGTCCATCAGCTGCTGAAGGATGGCACAATGGATACGTGTCTAAACCAAAAATAAATCAGCTGATTAATTAATCAATTAATTTGCCTCAGCTGACTGGAAGTGATCCGCGGGAATTTAAATTTTCCTCACCATCATCCATGCCCAGCATCATAACTTGAATTCTGGAAGCTTGTGTTTTTTTCGCAGTCTCGACAAGCAAGCGTCATAGCTACTCTCTCTTTTTTCGTCACCATCTTCACTTTCCCTCAGTGCATTATTGCAGTTGGGCTTAGCTAATTTTAGAAAACGATAATGACAGTGAATAAAACAAACCTGCATGTTGAGCTTCGAGTGCAGCAGAATGTGGCTGGTTTTATAGAGTTTGTAAACAATACCTTTCCTCTTTTTTCCTGAAGGAACTCTTGAAGGGTCTTTATGTGGGTCCACCTACAAGGTTATGATACCGTTCTTTGTCAAGGATAACACCTCAGCAAGCTGGATCTCCAATGATATGGGGAATTGCGGAAGCGATTTCCCCTGTGCAGTTCTCAAGGAGGTATTGCTTTGAGGTGTACACATTTTCACGTAAGGGCATGCCCTTTACTGAATAGGTGCCGTACCTACTCTTGTTTGTTTCTTTTAACACACGCAGACAGATATTCATAGTCCCGCCTCCCATTGCGCTGAAAACTCGTGAACTTGATGATGACACAGTGATCTACCATAACCCATAATGCCTTTCAGTATTGTCGCATAAGCCTCAATACTTTTATCGGACAGCCTTTCTCGAAACAGCTCTATATGAAATGCTAACAGCATATCGTCATGCACGCAGTGCATTAATTATAGGGTGTTTTTTTGGAATACCTCTGCTCTATGAGTTACCTTTCCAATATAGCTCAAACAATCTCTCTAAGTAACTTTCATGGATAGATAATACTTTTTGGGGAGAAGTCAAGTTGTTTCGGTGAAATGTTCAGACATTGTGTCCAATCACAATGTGAATGGTCAGAGAATGTCAGATGACCGACTTTTTTTTTCCAGCTCTGCATCTATTTTACTGTGTTTGATGACATTGTTTATCTTAGTGATGATATTTCCCATTGAGGATTTCAGTGTCATATTTCTCTGGTCCATTGACTATATGCAATGTTCTGTTCCCTTTAGAGGACATCACTATCTCCCCTGTTTGAAGTAATGAGAAAGACAAAATCATAAAGATGCCAGGAAATTACGGCTGAAAATTTGGCGAACTTTCATTTTGACAGCGTGTGATCTGCGGTTTTGTTTTAATAAATTCACAATAGCGGACCAAAGTCAGGCCACTGATGGGGAACTAATTATTTCAATAAGAGATGCACTGAAGTGCAAGAAACTACAGTTTAAAAAATCCCTGCTGGGATAATAGCAAGAATATTACTTTACCACAGAGCTTAAGACAGGATGGCCTATCTGTAGGGCAACCAGATGCTACTCAGTCATATCAATTATATTTACTGAAATGTTAGTTTTGGTGTCATTAGAGTACAGCCTTGCATCATCTAATACTATAAATGATGTATGTCAAGCCTACAATATGCAGCATTCATTTGGAATATTTTTTACATTCTT